GAAAGGAACGGGGGCAGCCCGGCGTGGAGCCTCGGGGTGGCAAGCCGCTCTCCAGCTCGGCACAGAGCTCCTTCTCATCTGGAAAGAACAACTCGTGGCCTGGGAGCTGCAACGCCTCTCGCTATAGGTGCATCCAGCCTTCGCACTTCATGCTCAGAAACAGGCCCTTGGGCTAAGGAATAAAGGCATCCGAGGAAGAAAATGTGGGCGATGCAGCGTATAAAAGGAACAGCCATGTCGCCAAACTGACAGATTCTTCTAGCCTTGCTGAAAACCTAATTTTCTTCTTTATTCCTCCCCATTCCTGTTTCCTTCTGGGTCGTGCCTTTTCTAGACTGAAAACCTGTGGGCAGGGGACCGTTTTTACCTGACTGATTCTAAGGCCTTCTGGGACTGAGAAGCAGAATACATTATGCTTTTAGCAAGTTAAGAGGGACGCCTGTCACTTCACGCAATTTAAGGTTGATGGGGTTTAGGAAGTCCAAAGCCGCCTTCAAACACACGAGTCAAACACATGTTCTAACTCTCTCACTATGGTCAATGGGCCAAAAAAGGCCCTAAATTTAATCTGAGCAGTAGCCTTGACTTTTTAGAAGTCCACTTGTGAAAGCCAGTTCCCAGTCTTTTTCAAGTGAGTTGCCTTTTTGAAGGTGCAAAGAGTGTCCAGGCCCCCGAGATCAGCGCTGTGCCTCAACACAGACGAAGCGCTGCGATCCAGCCACGTTTTGAATGCCGCGGGTCGTTCTGGTGGCGGCATGCATCCCACAAAGGAGACTGCAGAGTCTGAACATGTGCAGAAAAGATCGAATGAGATGACAGAGTTGCTGAAGGAATTATTGCAGTGCCTGGGGCTCTTCTGCTTGGAGAAAGGGTGAGAATGACGGGACACACTAGAGATGTATACAGAGATGAAGGGGGCAGCTTCAGCCAGAACCACCTATATCCTTTCGGGAATCTAAGAATGGCGTTCCCGTCTATACCCTGCCATGGTTAAGAAGCCCTCCGCTGTCCTCTGCAGTTCCCACATGGCTGTTCTTCTGAGGAACTGGAAAGCATGGCTAATTCCTGAGGAGAGAAAAGGGAACGCCTGCCCACGGTTGTGCAAGACGGCTGAGACAAGCCAGAGTGCACGTGTTCGCATGCACACACGGAGCCGGACAACCCCAAAGGTGATGAGGCAGGAGAGGGGTGTGTTTTTGGGAGGCCCACCTGTTGGGAGCACATGCCAGCGTTGGGCTATGGTGCCCCCTTCTCCCTCAGTCGCCTTCTGCACCACCGCCTTCTCACCCCCTTCCCCCCCAGCCACTGGGCTGCCAGGAGAAAGGAAGATCGCCCTTGCCAGAGGCCCAACGTGGATTTTGGCAAAGAATTCGAGGTTCAGGAGAAGGCCACCGGCAACTCTAGCGCCGAAGGCCACCAGCCCTGGCCACAAGCAGACGGCCAGACCCCAACTAATCTATGTGCCAGCCTGTGCCAGCTCAGTGCTCTCCGTCCCCTGAAGGGGGCCTTGCTCAGCATGGCATATGACCATGCAAGCGGGTGGAGGGCTTAGAGGCCATCTAGCCAAACCCACCACTTGGGGCATGAAATCCAGGGTTAAAGCGTCCCTGACAGATGCAGCCTAGGCTCTGCTCAAACACTTCCAGGCGGAGAGAATTTACCACCCGCTACGTCACAGGTTGCACGAGAAACTCTTTTCTTCCGAAGTTGGGAAAGAGAGGGGGATTCTCCTCTCCCTCTGAGCTTTGGAGCCAAGATGCACATGATAAGAAACAACATCACCCTCTGCCAGTGTTTTCAGTCTTAAATCTACACAGCTCCCATATTGATTGTCTGGTAATATTTTAGGTCACCTTTGCACTAAAGGAGTGGTATGAAATAAAACAAAAAAAAAATTACACGAATATGCAACAATAAAAAATAATGTACACAGAGCAGAACAGGAAAAGGGGGAGGAAGTGAACACAAATATCAGATGACATTCCAATCTGGAAAGCAATCTCAAAATAAATTTGGGAAGTATTCTGTTCTGAGTCCCACTCCAGAAACCAATCACACCAGATGCCCCGGCAATGACATTTACTCCAGTACTGCACTGCTGCTGAATCACCAAAGTTCTCCAGGCAACATACAATACAGTAAAAACATACAGACGCAATTCCAAAATGAGCAAAGGCCGAAAAAATAAAAACAGAACAGACAGAACTAAGACTCGGGAAGAGCAGCAAAGAATAAAACCATTAGGACACGGTAGAGCCAGATTAAAAGAATTCATCACAATGCCTAGGAGAATAAAAAGGTTCGTCTGCTCCTGAAAAGACCCTAATATAGGAGCCCAGCAAGGCTCCCTGGGGCACCACCACTAAGACCACCCTCTTATACCCACTTTCCTCAGTTCATTTAGTAGGGGCACCTAGAAGAAGGACCTGGTGCTTAAGATCTATGAAAATGGTACTTGATTCCTAGATCTTCCACCTTCTACTCCGCTTCGCTGCACGCCAGCTTTCCCCAATCTACTATATGCTTCAGATGTGTTAGAATACACATCCAGTCAACACTACCCAGCATGCCTGACTTTGCTGACTGGGGGATGATGGGAAGCATAGTTCAACACACCTGGAAGTGGGGTGTATCGCCAAGTTAAGAAAAGCTATTATATAAGGAAAAGTACGATTAGGACAATACTTTATTCCCCAGCACATCTTTTTCATAATTTTTTTTAACAAAGCTGTGAATTTCAAGAAGTGAAAAGCAGTAGTCAAACACATTTCACTCCAGGTCCAATTTCTAAATCACAAACAGCTCCTCTGCTCCGCTCGCATTGCTCTGTATGGGCTCGGGAGCGCTCGGAGCCTCGGGAACCGGCAGCTCTGGAAAAAAGACCACGGCTGACACATCATCCCCTCGACTTGGCTTCCAGACCTTCCGACAGCCGGCGCTGCACATGCTTCCTCTGGGGCGCGCGCCTCACCCTCCACTTTCGGCATGACCACGCCCTCCCTGCATCACTCCGGTGGAGGGAGAAGCATCCGGGTACCACAGGGACGCTTTGCAGCCACATCGGGCGTGATGAGCACCAGCTCTAGATGAGCTTTCCTTGCCTGCCACCACAAGCAGAAGAGCAAGACCGCAGGGAGACTATGCCCTGATGCACAGGCACCGGACCGTCTTGTCTTGAGCCAGCCAACCAGGGAGCTGAGCGGTGCAGCAGCGGAGTTGGGGGCTGCCACTCACGGAGGGGTCCTTTTACTATGTCTGCTGGGGACACGGAGGTTGTGAATGCCACTGAGGCAACGATTCGACTCGGCCGGGCTGCAGATGCAGAGCTGAGTAGCGACGGGGATTTCCAAAAGAATAGGAGTGAAGGCATCACATGTGGCAGATCCCAGCCCCAGCCGCGAAACGAGGATAACTCCAAAACCACGGACACCGAGTGCATGGCACCGGAGGAACCGTTCATGCAAGCTGGCAGTTTTCGGCACTTTGGCTCCGGCAAGCAGCTCTTGAGGCCAACGGATTGCTCACTTTCCAGCAGCAGAACGCAGCACCGTGACGGTTATTTACGAGAATAAACAAGCTGCAGTTAGCATTTGAGGGTTCCACGGGCTTCTGACGCTTTCAGCAGTCCCCCTCATGGCCCTGCCAGGTAGGTCAGCATTAATATGTGAGGAGGGAAGCAAAATTGCTGCGCGGCAGCAGCTTCTAGGAGGAAGTGTTATGGGAGTTGTAGTTCAAAGCAGTGGGAGGGCATGAGGAACAGGAAGGCTAACCAAAATGGGGTGAACACAGGCCAGGCATACAGAATTATCACCAGTCTTCTAGAACTCCGAGATCCGAAGCCGCAGAAGCCGTGCATTTCAAATGCAGCCATTCTAAGCCCAGGAATTTATTTTCTATTCCAGAAGTGAACACAGCCCAACCATCTTTCCACATCAAGATCTACACCAGTTTACTCCAATTTTTCTTAATTTCAGGAGCATCATATGGAGGGGCAGGGGGAAGGCTGCTGCAGCTACTATTAAATCAGTCAGGTGCCAAGAATCCTTGGTCATCTACTTTAAACCACCCAGAGAGGTTCTCTCCATCCCTCCTTAGATGAATCACAAAAGAAGAGACCAGTTTCCCTGAGCAGATTCAGAGTGAGGCCAAGTGCAAAGAAGTGAGGCCAAGTGCAAAGAATTCTCACCCATCAAAATCAAGCCAAAGGAACGAATTTTCAGACAAGCTGGCACTTTTGCCAGATGGACCTGGACTGTGAGATTTATTTTTCTGCAGTGTTAAAAATTCCCTTTCTATATAACAGGCCCCTCACCTTTAAAAGATACATTACAGAGAGAGTTTGGTTCTCTGTACCTCATGTTCCATCTCCATTTACAGCGGCTACAGGAAGAAGCAAAGCAAAACCGAAACTATGCAAGAAGTAAGAGTTTTGGCACCATCGGCTGGGACAACAGCTCCATCTAGCGTGATAAGCGACACACTGAACAAAGTGTTGTTAGAATCCTAAGTGGTCTCCTCGGCACAGTTTTTAAACCATGATTTCAAGTCTCGACGTGTTCACAGAGACACCCAGTGGCGGGTTTGGGCAGGTTGGGCAAGACCGTTTTTCCAAAACCAAGTAATGCCACGGCAAGTACCTCACTCAGCTTCCTACATTCTTACATCCCCTTGAATAACCGCCACTGTCTTGCCCACTGTCCTGAGATGAAACAATCCGTCTGCTCACATCACGAAATTTCCACGTGACACAGAGCTAGCTGTTGGCACAGTGGTTGGATCGTGCCGGCAAAGCACACCGCCAGCACCAGCCGAGTTACTTACAGAACAATCTTTCGCAACCTGGCGCCCCTCGGAGGTGTGGGGCGGCGAATCCCACCATCCCGCGCCAGCCTGGCTGAGCGCTGCCCACCATATCTGGAGGGTGCGAAGTGAGGAAAAGCCGTGACGAACACACACACACAATAAACAGTGAGGTGTGCGCACACCATGCGCTTGCTTACCAAGTAGAGGAGGAAAGTGTGCAGACCTGTTCCAAGTCCGACCGAGGACAGAATCCCCAAGCCTACCCAGTAGGCACACCATAAGAGCTTCTTCTCCATGTAAAGCACATACTGGAGAGGAGGGAAAAAGGAGAAAAGGGGAAGTTAAAAGGTCACCCACGGGGGAGAGAGCAAGAGCTAAGCACAGCGGTCGGCCCTGTTATTTAAATGTGTGCCTCTTGGGGTGCTATCAGCTTATCCGTGAGAAGGAATTCTTCGTCAGAAGAGCATTAATGAGAAAGCATTCGTACGAGCATAAAAGCATGTGGAAGCAGATGAGCCATTACCTGTTGATGCGCTCCCTCGATATAATACGCGGACGTGAGGACTGCCAGCAGCACTAAGAGCGACACCACAATACTTCGCCGATGCCACAGCCTTGGAGGGGTGGAGAAAAACTGCCGTTAGAATCGCAGGCCTGGGAAAGGGCCCCGCGGCCATCGAAATCCAGATCCCACACCAAGGCAAGACACTTGAGGTCTCTGTGCCTGCCCCACCTCCCACGTCGGCCTTTCCCAGCCCGGCTGGGTGGTTCCAGGAGGGGACCAGGCTGAGGAAGGCAAGGCTACGGGGCACCACAGGCTGGCCCAGCACGGTGTCGGGCAGTAATCTGGCTGCTGGACTCGAGAGACAGGGGCTGCGGTCCCACCTTGGCCCTGAGCTTCCCTGGGCCACTGACTGTCCAGCGACCACACGGCGGATGCCAGCCAGAAAAGCCGAGCCACTGACTTTGCTCTAGCAAACCAACTTTGTAAACCTGGGCGGGTCATCTCTTCTTCTGAATTTTATCGATAGGAGCCCCTCTGGGAAATGGGGTACAAATGCAGTAAATACATTCCCAAAGGCTTCTGTCTTTCCCTTATTCTCTGGATCCCCCCATGAGCATGTGACTAAACCCCAGCCCTTTCCAAGTCCAGCTCAGTCTGGCAGTGCAAGGGTCAAGGTGTCAACTATTGCCCAGCCTGATAGGGGACAAGCGGCTTGGGAGCAAAGTCCCCTTGGCCATTCCGAGCCCAAGCCACATAATCCTGAACTTTGCCCAGCCAAGACATTCGTGGAAGCCACATAAGCAGTAAATGTTTCCCCAGAACTCCACGCTCCGACCCGGCTGGACCTTTACCGCCAGCCTGGCCTCATCCAGGCTGAGGAGTGCTGATGAATGAGGGCACCCTTCCCCCATCCCAAGGTCTTCACGAGAGCAATCTGGGGTCCCCCAGGAGGGGGTCCCCAGTGCCCATCCAAAATGCAAGCCAGTGATCTTAACTAAGCGCTCTTCATTTTGGCCAGGGTGCCCAATTCTTCCCACTTTTTTTTTAAATCTAGGGTTATCCTGATGCCCACCTTGCAGTAGTAAGTTCCATAAACTAGTACTCTAGGACTACAGCTCCCATCACTGGTTATACTAGCTGGGCCTGATGGGAGCTATAGTCCACTGACATCTGGGAGGGGCACACATTCCTGCCCCCTGCAGCCATAGACTAACTCCATGCTGTCTGACAGAGCATTTCCTGTGAAAGGTTTGTACAGGTGCCCCAAATTCTGGTTTTATGAGGAAAGATAATCATTTCCCCCACTTCTGGGGACTAACGAAGACACGAAAAAGTGGGACAATGATTCTGGAGGGGGAAGATGGGAGGAGGAAGGGAAGGGAAGGGAAGACCAGGGCGCTATAACTTGGGCCTTTCACCACCACTGCCTGAAGAGGAGAACAGTCAGGAGAAGTATTCTTTACTTTATGGTCCATTCTTTCAAGTTTATGAATGTTTCCAGGGAAAAATACTGCAGGGTAAGAAGTGGTTTCTTCCAGAGCACAATACTCTGCCGCTCGTCTCGCTCCCGCCGTTTCTGTTCGCTCAGCGAAGAGGGCTCTGCAGAGGGAGGGCAGGAAGGAAAAATGGGCGCATTATCAGAGAAGAGAAGCACTGTAGGAAACGACAGGTTTCGTCCCTCAGCCCTGCACAAGCTCTGGGTGAAATGACCATCGGTCTCAGTTCTTGGGGGGGATTTTCCTCTGGGGCCCTAGGCCTCCGAAGCCACGACCTGCCGCGCTGATAGGGGTACTTGCTATTTGTGATACTTGTATGCTCTAAACTTGGGATGACAGAAAGGCACCACCGATTGGAAGAGGCACTCCAGAGCTGGACAAATGGTCTGATTTTGAGGGCCACTCCCATGTGCCTCTTCATTTCATTTAACACTTAACATGCAATATACATTAAAAGCCACATACATACAAATGCATGAACAAGCAAGCAAAGACACACACAAATGCGCTCCCCGGAGAGGCTCGCCTGGCGCCGAGCTTACATTCTTTTCGGCGCCAGGCCAAAACCTTTTTATTCAATTGTTATTTTAAAAATTAGTATTTTAGTTTAACAGTCGCTTTTGATTTAATTTATTTTTACTGGTTATATGTTATTTATTATATTGCTATGGATTGCTTTATTGTATTTTGATTTTAATGACTGTAAGCCGTCCTGAGATGCCATGCATAAGGGACAGCATATAAAAGTTTTAAATAAACAAACAAGAAAAGTTCAAGGTTTGATTAAAAACCTCATCATCTGCTGCCAAATGCCTTAAAAAGGGTCTTAATTTGATGTCCAGAAGATAACGATGTTGGCACCGGGGAGACTTAGAGAGAGCATTCCACAGGGGGGTGGGCATCAAAAGGGCCCTCTCGTTTACTGCCATTTTCTGAGCCTCCCTTGGAGGACAGACCTGGAGGGGGGCCTTAGGTGGCAAACGCAACATCCAGGTAGGCTTCTGCTGGGAGAGGCATTTTATAAAGCACTGCCATCCCTAGCTGCCACGTGAGGCTTTACAGGTCAAAAACGAGCGTCTTGAATTGAGCTTGGAAACCTATGGTTTCAGTGTTCTAAGGCAAAACATTATGTAAAGTTATCTGATATCATGGAATATGATAGGTTAGTTAGGTTAGTTAGTTGTATACTAACTGCAGCTAGATTCTCTCTGGAGTAAGTATACAAACATTCTGTTCCCTAGAGCAGAAGCTGCAGTGTATGCTGAACCTTTCCAAGAGCAGTCCTCCGTCCAAGTTTATTTCTGGATTTCCCTCATCAAACCATGTCAAATTGCAAATGCGCTTCCCAATCCAACTTGGCCACCGTGAAAGGAGGAACGGAAGCGTGAATTGATCCGGGAGGACTTTTACTGTTCTAGCAATACGAGAGGCGAAGACTAGATGGCATGATAAGCCTTACTCCAACAATAGATCCCTTCTGACTGAAGTAGAGGCGCCGAATCAGCTTTACAGATTTTAAATCCTTGGTTTACTGAACGCCCACCTCTTTCTTTCAGCTCTAGATAGGCCCCAAATTATTAATAAAAGTGCACCAACCCAGTAATTTATGTATGGACAATGTTTTAAAAATTTGGGACAGAGCTCCAGGAAACTGGGCTCAGATGCGTACAGGGTGAGAAGCTAGCATATGTAGGGCTTGATCAAACTGCTTCTCTAACTGTTTCTCCTTCTGGTGCCGAAACAGTGCCCAAAATTGTGAGTGGGGCTGTTCCCTGGAGAAGCAGAGAGGGCAGGTGGGGGAGACGGGGTGTCCCCAACTCTCATCACCCTTGACCATCGGCAATGCTAGCTACGACTGCTGGAAGTTGTCGTCCACGGCATATAGGCAACGCCAGGCTGGGAAAACCCGGACAGGAGCACTCGGCAGAGGGCCAAGCAGCCTCCCTGGGAGACGCCTTCAGCGGAGGAGAGTTCCCCAGCGTCCGCAGCGGGCGCACCCCACTTTCGAGCCACTCTCGCCTGTCGAAGCCTCCGCCTCGAGTCCAGCTGACAGCCGCTTCCCTGCCATTTCCAGCCATTGGTTCCCGTGGGAACGGCAGAGAACACCTCCCACACCTTCGACATGACACCCAAAAGACAGGTGGGGGCCATGAAGCCCTCCTTGGGCACCATCTGCAGTGTCTAGTGCCTCCCATTGGTAAATCAGCAGTAGTTAAAGGAACGGAAAGCATCTTGGGGCACATGAAAGGGGTTTTCGATCCGTGGGTCATACCTGCGAAGTTTCCATTGTGTTGCTCTTTGTTCATTCCTATGCGCCTCTGGTCACAATCTGTGTCATTCTCTGCCATTTCATAGATCAGCCACTTGCAGGGACCTGATGTCAGAGACACACATGCAAAGCACAGGTGTTAACAGAGGTCCGTCCACAGCAAAAGAGCTGGGTGAGCCTCTCCGAGCTGGGGTCCGCCTTTCCGCTTGCCATTCTCCTGGTGGAGGACTATTTCACTGCCTTCTGGAGAGGGCAGGAAGGCCAACCGGCCACGATCCCCTCTAGCCGGGAAGTGAGACGCGGTGGGGACAGGACAACCTCACACTTGCTCTGCCCTTCGGAGGTTCCGAGAGCGAGAGGCTCAGCACTAGACGGAAGGACGGGACGACCGCGTTGCCATGAGCGAGCCCCGGTGTGCGAGTGCACCGACGCTCACAATCACAACCACCCTGACTGCCACAGATCACACGATCCAATGCATGTGAACCAGGCCACAAAGTCCACCAACTCATTAAAAGAGCCAACTGCAGGCGGTTCTCTTCCAGCAGAAGTGCTCAGCCCTGCAAAGACTTTGTGTGCAAATACAAGACAAAAGATCTGAAACATTCCCTTTGTGGTAGGAGTGGGGAGAGAGAAAGAAGCAAGAGGCTTCAGCATTGTTTCAACCTCTGAGTTTCTGGCACTATTTGCATGAAACCGACACGGACCTCTGCCCACAAGCGGTTCTTTGTGACCAGTCAGTTTCGACAATGCTCTAGTCAGCCTTAATAAATCTCATGGTGTTATTCCTCTGGGGAAGATACTGGCTGCTAATTGAAAAATGGCATTGTTTGCAACGTCGGCAAAGACTGATCGGGGAAACCGGGGCTGTCACTTTGCAGTGAAATCACGCAGCAAGGTGTGGCCGGCCGGCCTCAGCGCCAAAAACATTTACAACAGGAAGAGTTTAAAAACTTGGCTTCTCCAAATTCAGGTGCTGATGGACCGGTAACCTGGAATGCAGGTTACAACAACCACCCTTGCTCTAGGGAGCGCACTTAATCATACACTTTGTTGTAGTGAAAGACCAACGATGCTGGAAATGTCACATTTCAGGACATCTTCTAATCAAACAGCTCTTGATCAACTTACTAGAGCCCGACTTAAAAGCAGCATGCTATAACAATCATGATTTCTTAGAAAACAGGATTGTTCTCAACAAAACCATAGGATATAGCGAAAAAGAACCACACTTCTATAATTAAAACAATAGGTTCTCCCCTCTTTCCCCTGCTTCCCAACCCCACACAAAATATCTTAACATTTCAGATGCACCTGAACAGAGCTGGGGGGGAGTAAAACTTTTAAAAATTCCTAGCCATCAGAGTTTATTTTTAGGAGTTGGGTGAGTTAGGATTTTGGGTGTCCTTGCCCCAACCCCAAAGCTGCCAAGCAGAGTTTCTAACATATAAATGGCGACAGGTTATGCGCAAGTTGCCAAATTAAAATGAGCCGCAAATAAGTCACAATAGGATATAACGTATTAATATACCTTAGGTGCCTTCGTCTTGGAGGGTCAAACCGAATGGTTGGCTGTCTAAAAAGCGCAGAGGAAAAGTTTACTGCCCTCTCTGAGATCCAGAGAGGAGAACCGAGCAAAGACGCAAATGCGCCTGTGCAGTTCTGCAAGGTTAAGACAAGGGGTTTCTTAATGAGCTATTAAAAACAAAGAAAGAACTCAGATATTTTTAGCATAATGATCACCCAAAAGGAAGGAAAATTAAATTAGTTCAAGAACTAGAACAAGAATCAGGACGACTCTGAAAGGCATTCCAAAGTGGCATGGAATGACCCAAGAATGCAATGCTTTGGTGAGCGAAAGGACTACAAGTTTTCTATTGAGGTGGCAACTCACTTGCACGACTCACCCCTTGAAGGAAAGTTTAGAAGCCTGCAAATCTCTATTTGGTTCAGAAGCACACTTAGCAAAGGGGTTTAGTTTTCCTCTCTCTCTGTGTTTTCTTGCAGGCTTCAATGGGATAAATTAGGAGCCAGAAATCTAGCACTCCCCAGATATTTTGGACTGAAACTGCCAAAAGCCGTGGGAGCCGAAGCCAGTGGTCAGGGGTTATGACGGCTGTAGTCTGGAGAGGGTAATGTCCGATTTGATCTTCAAGGTAAAAGCTGCTAAGCATATTTACAAGCCAAAGATTTCTCCATTAGTCCTTCCTGACCTAAAATTTGTGGCACCTAAATAACGTTTGAAGGTACCTGTTCTTCCTTGCCCAGGTGTCTGTTCAGGTGACTACTTTAGAAGTCCAGTGTTGTTTCATCCACAATTCAAAGAATTCCCCTTATAGTTTATGCATTTATACCCACCCTGCAAGCCTTCAGTCAAACAGCTTCCATAGTGGCTCAAAATAATATTAACATTTGAATCAGTATATTGGTCCACTCCAATGTTAAACAAACAGTACTGACGAGCAAATAAAAGCAGCAGATAAAAACAGTAAGAATTGAAAACTTTCAAGAGCACCAGAGTGATGCCGTGGTTAAGGGCATGGGGCTGGGACACAGGCAACCTGGGTTCTAGTTCCCACTTGGCCATGGAGCCAACTGGGTGACTTTGGGCCAGTCACAGACTCTCAGCCCAGTCTACCTCACAGGGTTGTTGTTGTGAGGACAGACTGAGAACAAGAGGAAGAGAATGGTGTAAGCTGCTGTGAGTTCTTTAAAAAAGAAAAAAAAGGCAGGATATAAATCTAACAAATAATAGGAACGGGCAGCAGAGGAGCCTCTTGAGGGAGAGAATTCCACAAACTGAGATGCCACCACTAAAAAGGCTCTCTCTGGTTGCCAGCACCCTTGGTAGAGTCTTGCTCAGTGATCTCAACACACAAGGCAAGTTGAACATGGAGAAAGGTACTCTCCCTGAGGTCCCAAGCCATAAACGACATCCATTTTGGCACACTTTCAGGGCCTCTAACTACTGTACTGCAGGAGCCAAGGAAAACCCATGCATTTCCCCAAACCAGGCAGCCTTCGTTGTTGCAAAGAGCAGCAGGGCCATGCCACCTGAAGAATGCAAAACGCAATCCCTCCTCAGCCAAGCAACCCTCTGAAAAGGAAGCTGCAGATGTTGTGTGTCCTTAGATGACCCCTGGGACAACAGGTGTGCTTTCATCCCAAGATCCATTACCAGAGAAGCTTAGCTGTTCATGTAAACAACACACTGCTAAGTACGCAGCTTCCCTTTTTTTTAAGCACTGCAATTCCCCAAATCCTCACCGATGCCACAGAGCTCCCAAGCGACGTCCCAGCACAGCACAGATATGGCATAAAATTTGCCACTGAGAGGCAGGATCAAAACCCCCTCCCATGTTGTATGAGCAGTTGTGTTCTCCTTCTTAGGCTTACAGATGTTGCAATAGCTTCCTCTTGGAGGAGGCGCTGAAGTCTGGGTGGGGGGCATGGTCTCTTCAGTTGCGCAATATGCCCCATTCCCGTGGCACCACCTGTAAATGCAGAATAATCCCAGCACCCTACTTGGTATGTGGCGGAGACTGGCGCTCAACAGGGAGGGCCAGGGGACAGGAGTGTGGAACCTTTTTCTGCCCGAGACCAAACTCTACCTTGGAATATTCAAGGGTACTGTTCCAATAGCGGCTGGAATCAAACTGCCCCCCACCCCAAAAAAAGGCCACCAGGCTTTAGCTTAATGTTCCTACTGCTGGTAACTAAACTTTGGGAGAGGAATTTCAACTTTCAGAATGGGAGGAAAGCACACAGAAGCTTCCAAATGGCTGGTGGGGAGGGGAAAGAGGCAGAGCTGCTTGGGGAGAGGGGCAGAAGGCTGGCTCAGGGTGCCAGGAAGGTGGAATGTAGCCCCCAGCCCTGACGTTTTGCGACGCTATGGTAAATCACAGAGCAAGAAGGGTTTTTAAAAGGCTCAACAACTAAACAGGCCTTACTGGGGAGGAAAGGAGCAGAGTTTCCAGGGCAAACGCAAGGGCCCATGCGGGCTCCCTACAGCCTGCCCTCACTGACCAACTGGTATGCGGAGGCACACGATTCTGCCGAGCTATCAGAGAGCCGTTGACAGACACAGCCTCCTCTGTCAAGTTGGTTTAATCTCGCCAACGCCACCTAAACTCAGTGCTGCTGCTTAAATCCCTGGCAGTGCCGTGAAACTCATCAGTCCATTCAATTTTGGCTCAGCTAGCCTAGGGCTACCTACTTTCAGCCAGAGGCGAGTCCCCAAGCTCCTGAGCAATGCGCTTGCCCAGCCACTGGGGATGCCAGAGAAGTCCTGCATGCACCAGATTCACTCTGCCACACACCTATGACGCAACTCGCGCAAGTGGGCCAAGTGGCCCATTGACAATTCCCCCGTGACCGAGCAAGCCCGCAGCAGCGATTCTCCAGGGCTGCCACAGGCATGCTGCTCCGGGCCAGCAGGAATATCTCTGCATCGAAGTATTTCTGGTCAACTCTCAGCCCTCCCCCGGCTGCACAACACATGGGCATACTCTGGCTGAGCACAGGCAATTGCCAAGTGGCTCCATCATTCTTCCCAAATGGACTTTCCGTGTTGGGAAATCCTGTGTTGGAACTGTCAACAAATAGCATTATCGAGCCAGAGAGGCTGCTGGCCTAGCTCCCACAAGGTTGTTCTGACACCAGCCAACATGAATCAGTCGGGAAGCCACGGGGGGAATGCCCTGCCAGGGTGGCTGAAAACAGAGCCACCCCCCCTCTGCATACCGTAGCTCTCATCCCCCTTCCAACGACAGGCTAGGAGACTCCACCACACCTCCAGAGGCTTTTCAGATTACGCAGGCATTAAGCAGCAGCCTATGTTTCAATTCAGGTCATCAGGTCCATCTAGACAGGAGCCGTGGACTGGTGGCAACTCTTAATGGAGGCCTATCTGGAGATGCCAGGTTTGTGCCTGGGACCTTCTTCAGGTAAAGGTGTGTTCTGCCATGGAGACATGGCCCTTCCCCCTAGACTAACCTTGCACCTGCCCTGCAAAATCACACTGCACATCTCGGAAGCCCGTCTGATGGAATCCCAAAATTCCAGATCACACCTTCTGAGCAATCCGCCTCCACGGCCATGAGCAGCTATTTCTGACCCGCCTCTACTCCAGATGCTTTCAGATTATTCAGTTACTTTGGTACAGAAATATTCCTGCTGGCCCAGAGAAGCATGCCTGTTACAGCCCTGGGGAATCCGTGCTTTGGGCTCGCTGGCTTCCAATCCAAAAGCTAAACACAGCCCCCAATTTTAATCTGAGTTGGAGCAGCAGCATAGCCAATTCGTTCTCTGAGAAATATTGCTTCAGAAAGGTGTGACTTTCTAACCACCCCTTAGTGAAAAGAGGTATATTTAGCTCATGAATTCAGTTCCTCACAAGTCAGACCCAACAGTTACAAGGAAAAATAAATTGCACTCCACCCCAGCAGCTTCTTTCCATTCAGCAATGATAACTCACCCTAAAAGCCAATGTGGTGTATCAGCAAAAAAATTAGATTCAGCTGAAGCAAACACAAGACTGACATACCTTTAGTGCAATCATAGGTATGGTTATACAGGAAAAAAAACCCCTACATCTGATTTATAGGGTTTCCTTCTGTCCAAACATGCACAGAATGTTATCCTCAGTCTCTGGGCACATTTTCACATTGAATAAAGGAATGTTAAGGTGACAGAAGCCTCTTAATTAACTGACCTGTAACCCTTCTGTTTTATACCATAATCTCCTCCCCCCAGTTCCTTATTATGCTTGTATTATACACGCCAGTGTCATCTTTGACACATATCTATAATCTGAGGAGGTAACCACTGATGCCTAATCTGGCAGGGCTGCTGCTCTGAGAGAACACAAACCAAGTTTTGTGGTAAACATTCAAACAGATCAATCTCAAGGCTCGGGACTTTCCTTGTCCACATTTTGTGAGGTCTGCTCTTCAGCGGCGATGCCTGCCTCTGCACTACCCTTAAAAACAGTATACATAAATCAACGGTATGGCTGAAGCTGTAACCGTGTTTGTTCTGCTTAGAAGTGTCCTCATGCCTTCGCAGGGGCATCTTTCTTAGAAAGCAAGGTTCAGATCTTGGCTTTGCAAAAACAATACCGGATTCATGCACTAGAGGGAGCAGATGACAACGGGAGAAGAAAGGAAAACTGGTCAGGTGGAAAGGTCCGGACAAGTGGATGCATGGATGCCTTCTCCCTGAAACTGGCCCTTTCAGAAAAGCAGGCTGCTATGACGCCAGTCACCAGTTTTTTTTTCCCTGGGGGCGATTCCCGGTATCCTAATGTCTCCCCTTCAAAGTTTCATTGTTGGTTTGCTACCACAATGGAGGAATCCAAAAGGAAAACTCCTGTATTAGGAGCACTAGAAATACACCGGAGAGGCTTGGAAAATTAGACATGGCATAATTCTGGCCGCTCTCAACAATGGAGACAACCACTGGCACCACAGTGCTGGGTGTAAATGTGGGGAAGACAGACCCAGAGAGAGGCTGAATCTTTTCTTCTCCAGGGGAAAAAAAGAAGAAATGGGTGAGTGAGGTTACCACACAAGTATTACCTATGTTGTAAGCCGCCCCGAGGTTTCGGCAAGGGGCGGCATAGAAATGTTAATAATAATAATAATAATAATAATAATAATATGGGATGGCTAAAGTGCAGGGTGAAACTTCCGACTGTGTTTGCCATGTTTGACCCCTCCAGTCATTGTAGAAAACCCAAAAAGGGAACCTGGGGAGGTGCAGCTTCTCGAAATCTCACCGCACTCAGCTGCGACAACCAACGAATTTGACAATGAAGCATTCTCCCCCAATGGTGAATGACCCATGATCCTACAGCCTTCCTCAATGTAGAGACGTGCACTGCACTGCACTCCACAGCAAAGCTTTTGGACCTTTAATAGTTGGGCACAGGCTTCTCCTTTCTCAAATATATCCACAATTACTATCTTCACCAGCCTGATGCTCCCCTCCAGATGCTTTCGAGTACAACTCCCATCATCCACTCCCACTGAAGCCAGGATGCACCTGAAGGGCACCTGTTGGGGAAGGCTTGCATCTGTGCAAATCGCCTCTTTCCAAATCCTCATCATCATCAGGAGGAGGAGGAGGAGCCTTCCTTGGAACTGGGTCCAAAGATTACCCCACCAAGGCACAAATTAGGAAAGCCAGTTCTGCTCAGCAATTAACCCCCCCCCCCACACACACACACAGCTTCACGGCAAGGTGAAACCAAACACCGCAGGAGCACTTCGAAGCCTCCACTAGAATTTCAGCCCCTGCTTTTCTTGCCTCCCGCACACTGTCGGCCTCTCTCAGCTGTGAACCCCCCAGGGACAAAACCCTGCTCCTTTCACAGAAAAGCTGCACTTATCTGTAGGATCAGCGCCACCACGTAAGTCGCCAGGGGGGCTGACCACCAAGTGAAACAACAACATACAGCCAGAATAGAAAGGAGAACCGTAACAGGCACCACGACCGCACAAAACACCGACAGAGGGTGGACACAATACGTACATACACACAGAGAGAGGGGAAGCAGGGAGGGAAAGCGAAGGCCTTGAGAGGCAGTGCTGCGCAGTGGTTAGAGCCCCGGGCAGGGACTCGGGAGACCGCCCAGAGAGCTTTGGCTATGGGCAGTACAGAAGTGCAATAATCACCATAATCAGGTGCCGGTCACTACTGCGCCATGAGGCGAGTTGCACCGGTGCGAGCCTTCCCCAACAGGTGCCCTTCAGGGGCCTCCTGGCTTCAGCTCCCCCCACGGGGCGCCACCGGCGGACGCAGCCTCCCCGCCTCGGGCCGGGAAGGCGTGTAAATGGGAGGGCGATTCTTCCCACGGGGGGCACCCCAGGCCCACCCACGTTTCTCCACAGCGAGGCCACACGAGGGCCACCGCCTCGCCTCGGGACCCCAGCCGCCCCCTCCTCCTCCTCCTCAGGAACGAGGGGCTCCCCCTTCCCCGGGCGGCCCCCCCGTTCTGAGGCGGCGGGAGCCACGCCGCGGAAGCCCCCGCCCTCCCAGGGACCAGGCGCGACGGGGGGAGGGGGCCCCGCGCGCGCGCCCCTCGAGCCGTGTCCCTCCGGGCGACCCGTACGCCCCCGCGGCGGAAGCCCCAGGCGCCCGCCTTACCCCACTCCCGCCGACGGGCCCACACGCGGCAGCGCCGGTCCCTCCGCGCGGCGGCTCCGTCCAGCCCCGGCTCCTCCGCCACCGACGCCGGCAAGTGCTCCTGCTCTGCTGCTGCCGCTCTCGCCGCCTGGTCGCGGGCCAACCCGGAAGTCGGGGGCGGGCCCTCAGCCCCTCGCCGGAAGCCGCTCTTGCTCGCCGCGTCCCGGCCGCCCTTCTGCCGCGGTCATTTCCGGTCCTCCCCGCCCCCCGCTTCCGTGTTCCCCGCGTAGGAAAGCCGGGAAGGGGTAAGAGTCCAAAGAATAAACGCGGGACGCCTGGGCCCGGCGCCTTTTCTGGCACCCCCATTGGCTCTTCGCGCTGTCATGTCACGCCTGGCCCGCCCCACGCGCTGGCGAGTAGGCGTGGCGGTGGGCGGGGGCGTCCCGCGTGCGACGCGGCGGGAGGGCGGGGCGCCGTGGCGGCACGCGGGGCTCCAGGATTGGCTGGCCGCATCTATGACGTCGGGGGCCGGCTTGCCGGGTCTTCCCTCTCGGCGGCGGCCAGGCGGGCCCTCGTGCGTGGCGAAGGCGGCGGCGACCCTCAGCACCCGCAGGAGGCCTGGGTCGTGGGAAGGCTGCAGATAAGGTCAAGATAAGTGAATCGATGCAGATTTATGCCAGAGGAGGAAATGCGGGCGGAAAGGGGTTGCTGGCGGAAGATCGCCCCCCCATCTTTGCTTATTGGTGTTTAAAGTCCATGTGTGTCTGTGCTAATTATTATTATTATTATTATTATTATCATTATTATAACATTTCTATGCCGCCCCTTGCCGAAGCCTCGGGGCGGCTTACAGCACAAGAAAATACAATATAAAAATGACAATATAAAATTAAAATTAATAATATAAAATAATTAAAAAATATAAACGATATAAAAGAAGTTATAAAAGAAAGAAAAGCTACAAAAGAAAAGAAGTCTTAAGTAATTAAAAGAAGTAATTAAGTTTAGGTACTGTCCACGAAGGATGGCATAAATGCAGGCCTCAGAGGTGAATACAGTGCCAAGCTTTAGACAGGAAAAATCCAGGAACTCCCAGCATGCTCCAGCCAGCCAAGAATTCTTATGCGTGCTTGCCTGGGGCATGCTGGGAGTTGTAGGCCTTTAAAAACTATCTAAAATACAGAAAAGTTCATCCCATGGTCTGACAGCGCATGCTAAACAGGACTAAAAGCTAATATGTCTAACAAGAAACCAGTACAAAGCCAGAAGTGCCTGATCCTGCCTAATCTTGGTAGCTAAGCACGGTCAGGCCTGTTTGAAATCTGGATGGGTGACTTAATATTGTGAACTGCCCAGAGAGCATTGACTATGTGCAGTATAGAAAAGTAATGAATAATAATAATAACAATAACAACAACAACAACAACACTGCAGTCCCAAGGAGAAGTGACAACCACAGTAAGCCTTAAAGAGGTAGGGCTGCAGGATCTCAGGTATACTTCATCATGGGGAAGTGTGCATGGCTAGTAATTTCAGAGAGCAAACATTTTCCTCTCGCTCATCTGTGCCCCATCAACTCAACAAGCTAAATGCTTGCGGAAATAAAAAGTTCTGAACGAGGCAGGATAAATTAATCATGGAAGGAGAAATGCTGATCTTGCTCGGCACTGGTCTCTCTCATCCGTGTCCTTTCCAAAGCGTAAGTGAAGATGGTTCTGTGTCCCCAGGGATGTAAAATCCAGAAACACATGAGAGGCAACAAAGGGTAATAGACCTGGTATGTTTAACGGTGACAGTCGGCAATTAGTTCCACTTATATAAATATTATGTATGTCATACTGATCGGTTGTTTGCTTAAAACTAACTTGGGTTTACGTACCTGTATTAAAAGAAAACTGACATGAATGCATGTCTGTGTGTAACAGCAGCTAGTTTGTTAGACAGAGGAATTGTACCTCCAAGCATGAATGAAAACATTGCTTTCTCCTTTGCCCATGGAAAGCTGGAAGAAAATGCAAGCATGCCTGTATTTTATCTCTGTGCTGCCTGTGCCTGGAGGTTGTTCAGGAAGGGCAAAAAGGATGAACCGTGTAGAAAAATCTGCAGAAAGCGGGTGTTTTGGAAATCCCTATTATGACAGCTTTATGTCTGCCCCCTATTAGGGTTATAGGTAAGGCCCAGCTTAGGGTTAGGGTTAGAAAAAGCAAGCTTCTTAAGGTGTGGAGATCTGCAAGTTGTTCAGGAGGGGTAGAATATAATGAGCTGTTCAAAATAAAATCTCCAGGAAGTGGATATTTTGGAAATCCCTATTGTGGCAGGTATATTTCAGCCTCTTAGTAGGGTTTGGGTTAGGCTGTATGATCACTGAACAGTTTCTCCTTATGAAAATACTTCAGATGCATCGGGAGCGGAACAGTACATTCCAATGAACCTGTCCTCATTCTGCATTTCTTTTCTGCACATGGAGAATATTCACATTCTTACATTAGCCCTGTAAAGTGGGTAAGATGAGGTGGTTTAAGTACGTGTAACAGTGACTTGCCAGAAAGGGTCTTTGCTAATCCTTATTGGAGATCCCGGGTCTTGGCCTGGGATTTTCTGCAGGCACAGCAGGACCTTTCCACCTCTTTGCTGCAGCCCCCTCCCCAGCTCTTCAGTACACCATGCTGATTGTGAAGGCCGAGACGTCTCATCTTTCCAAATGTGCTAGTAACATTCCAAACGTTTCTTCCACCCTCCATCTCCAGATGCGCCATGGATTATCTTTCCAAGCCTGATCTTCTCAGCATAATCGCTGGAGTTGCCTGCGGAGTATGCCTGGGCTGGAGCATCCGCGCCCGCCTCATCCAGCCATCCAAACCCAGAAAGGCCCCCGTTGCCAGCGAACTGGGCAACGAAGCCAGCGTGATGGGCGAGTCTGGAGATTTCAAGATGGTGATCGTTGTCCGGAACGACCTGAAAATGGGGAAAGGCAAAGTGGCTGCCCAGTGTTCCCATGCCGCGGTTTCAGCCTACAAACAAGTTCAGCGCCGCGACCCCGAACTTCTGAGGCAGTGGGAGTACTGCGGGCAGCCCAAGGTGGTGCTCAGGGCTCCGGATGAGGACACCCTCATGCAGCTCCGCAGCGAAGCTCAAGGGCTTGGCCTGACGGTGAGCTTAATCCAGGATGCAGGCCGCACTCAGATCGCCCCAGGCTCCCGGACTGTCCTGGGAATCGGACCAGGATTGGCTGAGATTGTGGATAAAGTGTCTGGCCATTTGAAACTCTACTGAGTCGGGCATGCCCAGCACAATGGAAATTGGCAGCATGAATTTAAACCAGAAAAGGGAAAGCATACAAATACCCAATGACTATTGAATGCGATCATGTTTCTTCCCCATTGTCCTCTTTTCACATTTGGTATCCATAAAACACCCCACATATTTACCAGGCTGTGCTCTTTTGTTTCAAGCTATTTAAAATATGAGCTTTATGTTTATGTATCTAGAAAGCAGGTGGTGCATTCTTGATGAGGTTTTTCTTTCTTTTAAGAAACCTGAGAAATTGGGTCTTTGAAATCTTTAGTCTGGAAGGGCAAAAGCTTAGCAAGACAGGGTTCAAACTTGAAGCACTGTGCAGGGGTAGAAATACTCTTCTGGCGTAAGGTGGGAATCCGAAAGTGCTCATGCTGTTTTGCAGAGTGGAGGCTGATGTCAGCTAGGCTAAGCTATCACGACACGGCTGGTTTGGGGTTTTTTGCTGGCAAAATTTATACTTGTCTGTGCCTCCTTGCGGGCTGTCTTAGCATAGAGTCTCAGTCCGAGTAGTCAACTCAGCAGACAAGGTCAGCAGCACTGGGAACACCTCCCTGCAAAGGGAATTAATTGGATTTGCAACTGGGAAGTTCCCACCATTACTGCTTTGTGCACTTGGGAGATTCTGTCAGACCTGAATCAGAATTACTTTGGGTGTTTTTCACAAGAAAGTAGGCAACGGAGTTTGTTCAGTACTGTGGGAGAGTAAGAGCAGACCAACATCAAAACCAGCCGCTGCAGTTTCATTGCAATTGCCTCAACTTGAAACATTCGTGCAAGAAAGCATCTGATGCAACCTCCTGAAACGAGGCATGTTGTGTTTCTTCCTTAGCAGCCTCTGATCAAGTCCAGCCTTTCAAACAGAAAAAAGAAAAGTGGAAATTGAATATAGGCTGCCCTCTGCTGGCTTCTGTGCCCAACCTGGTTCTGTTTTTATATTCAACCCTTTAAGCAGCACAGGGACTTTGGTTTGGGAGCAACTTGTAAGTAATCTAAGGAGATGTGACAATCTTGGAAGCTGCTAGAAGTGCAGTTGGAGCCCTTCCCTCTGTGGAGCTGAGGGCAGAGTACAAATCTGGCTTCCCAATTAGCTGACGACCTTGGGAGCTTGCATGGACTGAGATAGCAGCCTTACGCACCCCGTACTCCAAGCAGGAGTTTAGACCCATCTCTCAAAGTCACAGTATTTATAGGAGGCGCTCGTTCATGGAGACAAGCTGGGAGAGCTGGGTCCTGGTCTTCTTCGCTCAGCCATGCAGCTTTGAGCTGGTCACTGACCCCCGGCCTAGCTAAGGTGGAAAGGATACACATGAAGACGACTCCCATGCGTAGGTTCTTTGCAACTGGCCATGGAGGCCAGATTGCCAACACCACAACCTAATACTCGACTCACGGTTACCTAATATTTTCATGTCAGGTGAGAGAGTTGGACCAGGGACCTTCTGGTTTCTTCTAACAGATACATCACGCCAACTGGTGTTTATTTGCCCGTTGTCTTTTGAGTTATAGGAGACAGACTTAAAACTGCACGAAATTACATGGATTGCTTGCTCCGACAGCTGAGTATCATTTGCGCGTACAAACATGACAGTAACTCAAAGCAGCATTGAACATTGAAGTCATTTTTATTTTGAAGCTAAATATATTAAGGCAACTTAACATACCTATAACATGATCTTTTTTGCCAGATTTTTAAACTGGAAACACTCAAAACTACAACCCTAAAGAGGTTTTTTTTTTTTTCTTCGCCTGGATAGAAGATGCTTTCATTGGCCCAGCTGTAGCCAAATGCTGAAAAGTGCCTTCATCCTGCTCCTATCCCATATATAGTTCCAAGTATTTATCAGACACATCTCAAGTAATCTCTTCAGTGCAAGTCACCTGCCAATATAATCTCCATAGGAACAATTTGGTATTTTGCTAAGTTGCTGGTCCCTCCCTTTTGACCCAAAGAACACTGTTCAACCTTTTGTTATTTTGAGGCCAAGCATGTACATGGAAAAGGAGTTTGAAAAGAGATACATACTGAAAAACTACTATAGAGTATGTCCACAGTCCGGTAATTTATTTTTTTCCAATTTGAGCCATTGTAAATTGCACAAACAAAACTGAACACAATTGGGTTCTGCCCCTGCACCCGTCCTGCCCAAATTTCTCTTTCTTCTGTACACTCGGGAAGAAAAAAAGTGATCTTGAACATCACAATACCCAACAAACACAAACCTCAAGGCAGGGTTAGTCAAATACACGCGAGGTTGGATTTACGTTGCTCCCTCTTGTTCCTCAATGGAAAGTAAGAATGGTCCCCACAAAAAAGCACAGGGTACAGTAGCACAAGAGAAGGGTCGTCTGTTTACATACGGAGTGAGCAAATGCTAGAGTTCTCTCTACAACTAACTGCAAACCTGCACAGGTTAAGAGGGAAATCTCTACTAGGTTTGTTTCTTCAATATTCAGGAAATGTTTCTGTACGCATCTTTTTAAGATCGTTTTTTTAAGAGCTAAGCGATCCGACTGGGGCAGGATATGCCAATTAGTGTTTCAACTCCAACTACAATTCTCTTTCCGCTGTAGCTTTTTCCACCTCCTTCGGAATATACAATGAGACTTTTAAATGCATTTTAGGATAAGACGGTACATATTTGCAAGCTGCTCACATACACTGAACTTAAGAGTTTCGATAAGAGTTTAAACGTTACAGAGTGCAAATCGGAATAGTCACAGAAGACTGCCGTTAATGTCAAGATGCAGTCTTGCCAAAAAAAAGGGGGGGGAGGGGGGAGAAAGCCCCACTTGAACATTTCAAATTATTCTCATTTGAAAGAAGAGCAAGATCTAAGTGACATGGAATGTGAATAAAAAAAAAGGATTATGCAGAAGTGGGATTTAAGGAGCTTGCGCTGGTGGAGGGAAGGGGGAACGAACGAAAACGCAGTCCTTCATGAAGTAAAGATTACAAGGACACCGAGGTTTTTCCCTGTCGAGTTGAAGTGGGAGGGACGGTGGAGTTGCAGCGAATCAAAGCTGGCTCTGGACTTGCCTTATTACATAGTGTACCCAAAGCCAGGCTGAGGTTGCCCGTACGCAGGTGCGGTGTAGCCATACCCAAAAGGTGCTTGCGGGGGGACTGCGACGCTGGGGCCCGCTGTCAACATGAGCTGGGGCTGACCTGGTGGGGAGGAAAGGGAAACAGGCGGGCAGTTAGAAGCAGGAGTTCCTGCCGAGCGAAACAGCCACGATTAAACCTGTGTGACGAGCTCACGCTGGTTTCTGGAGGAGCAGCTTAACCTGGCTCGTAGATCACGCGCGGGGCATCTTGGCAGAAGGGCTGCCTCCCCCGGAACGGCAGTCGTGCCCGCTTCCCCTTGCGAGGGCTTCACATCCAAATTTTATTCTGGAGAAGCTTCTCCAGCCCCCCGTTCCAGAGATGGGCGGCACAAAAGGGACAAGGCCAAAGCCGAAACCCATCCACATGCCTCTGGCCATGGAGAAAGCCTCAGCGGGAGGCATCCTGGCCTCCGAGAAAGGAGGTGGAAACAACACGAAAGCCAGCCGGAACAGAACCACCCGTGGAGGAGAGAAGGTGCATGGCCCCGGGGAGCGGACACCACCTTCTGTGGAACCCGTGTGGGTCTGTGGGCATGGCCCCTGCGCGTGCCCCGTGTGAAACCGGAAAATAACCCCGCAGAACCCAGCGGGCCGTTACCATAAACAATGGGCTGTGTCTCTGTGGCCTGCTCTTCCTCTTTCCTCAGCGACTCTGAGGCATCCAGCTTGTCCACCTGCAGCAAACAGAAAATCCCCAGTCATCAGGCAAAGCGGATCGCAACGCTCCCAAGGCCTACGTTTTCTGGCAGAGAAGTGGAAAAGCCTTCAGTGGGCGTGAAACACAGTCCGAGAGAGGAGACCACGGGCAAAATGTGCGGTGGGCGGGGTGGAGGAGCAGGCTGCTACGGCGACTGCCTCGAGCACACCTCTGTGTCGGGAGACGCGTCCAAGAAGCGCTGCTGGCGAGCCTCTCGCAGAGAGGGAGGCCTGGCGGCAGGGCGCCTCGTCGGGTTAAACTTCTCGGGCGGCCCTTCCGTACCTGGCGCTCTGCCTGCAGTCTAGTGCATCTGGAGAGCACCGCGTGTTCAGTAACCTGTTACGGCCGCATCCTGCACAAGCCCCCTAAGCGGTGGTGCCAGTGACACGGACTTGTTTCCGAGCCACAGGCTGGACGGAGGGCGACGCACAACCAAACTGCAGAGGCCTTGGCCCTTCTTTGTCTGAAGAACAATACCCAAGCCCCTCCTGGGCTTGCATTTTCTAATGGAAACCAGCAGGTCTGCCTTCTCATTCTCTGTGAGAATGTGTCATGTGCCCAGCTAAATCATCTGCTTATCTGCACACACACCTCTTAGCTAAGCCAGGTGATCTACTCGGCAACTCAAAGGACCACAACGACACAACAACCATGTGGCTATCCATTACGGCATCTCCCTCTTCAGTGAACACGGCAGTTTCTGGGGCCACACGGCCTTCTAGGGTGCCACCGACACTGAAATCCATGAATACTCAAAGGGCAGGAATTTGCTTTCTACCAAGGTCAGGTCACTACCCCATCCAAGTGCCCCTGCAGTAAGGTCTGACCACAGCTTCCATCATCCTCAGCCAACCCAACACTGGTGCTGGAGGCAGATATCTGGTGGCCGGCTGGTGGTAGCCTTCCGGGATCTCCATCAGAGCAGGTCCTTCCCTCGTTAGCTGCTACCCGATCCTTTAAAGATGTGGAGCGGGGCTGGGGGGGCTGCCTTTGAAACCTTCCACTTTTCGATTCCAGCACACCAAGATTCCGTCTCCAGTGCTACACTCTCAGATCGAACTGATGTCAGCTAAGAACATGGGGGGAAGCGTGGCTCTCTCAACCCCTCAGGTCCCCCACCCGCTTTGCGAGAGCGCGACGCGAGAGGGAAGCGGTGTCGTTCCACCAGCCCTGCTGGAAGTCTACGCAAGTGTTCCCCTCTTCCGTTCCCCAACGGCTTTCCTGGTGTGTGGTGACTTTTTAGATTGTGTACTTGGAGGTAGGGTCAAGTCTTATTTAACAGATAGTCTGAGATGCTCCCGGAGCTTCTTTGGCTGAGGAGCAGAATAAGGATCCTTTAAAAATTGAGCATTTCGGTCTCAAGATGGACTTCAGGGCCTGGAAGGCTCCATGCAAAATGCTCAAGGTCATGACCTCTTTGATGGGGAAGCCAAGTCGACGAGATTAAATCTGGCCATAACCTTAATATGGAGATCCAAACCAGCCGCGCAAGCAACACAAATGGAAAACTGAGCAAGCTCTGAGACATTCTCCTCTAAGAACAGAAAGGTGTGGGGGGGCCTGTGGCCCCAAACCAGGCTTGCTGACCTGCCTGTTCGGCTTAGTAAGCAAGCAGCGAGTACCAGAGCAAGCTATGGCTGGAGAGGCGAATACTTCGCCAAATGCGCCACACTGAAGCCTACGTGGATCCGATGGCCGATTCAAGAAATTCGCATGGTGTCACTCTGGACCAAGCTGGATGCCCACCGACTGTCGTATTTCAGTCCAGATGCACAGCAGCTGCATCTGGGGAGCAAAACTGACAAATTGTTCGAGGGACCAGCCTCACAGCGTTTGAAGGAACGCCCAAAGTGCTGGGTTTGCTGAATTCGCAGGCGTGTGGTCCGCCAGGTGCCGCCCTTTCCAGGATCCCTCATCACTGGACAAGGGCTGGTGGGAGGGGCAGGCCAAAGCACCCAGGGGGCCACAAGCGGTCCCCCCCACCGCCTCCCCAAAGAGGAGGCGGGAAGGTAGTGACGCGCCATTCCCCCCACGCCGAGGGCCAAGCCACTCGCTTGGCACGGGCGGCACATGGGAGGCTGTGGTCTAGGACCCCCCTTTGGAGTATAAGCGAGAGAGACCGGAACGTGGTCCCTTCGGCACCACGTCAGGCCCGCTCAGCTAGCTACACTCTCTCACTTCCGAGTAAGCACACACAGCACAACGCACACCAAGGGCAGGCGACCGTATCCAACCGCTCCTTTGCCCGCCTCGGAAACTGCCCCGCTGGGCGACCCTGGGCCCGTGTGGGTTACGAAGCAGGTTACAATGAAGAAGTGCCAGAACAGACGTGAGCATCTCAGGGGCTGAAGCACAGACAAGACAGAGGAAGGCATGCTGAGCAACGGGGGTGGCTGGCTCCGTCCGGGCCATTTTCAGGACCTGTCATTTTTTGGGGGGCGGGGGGAACCTCTGCTCAGAGGGTTGCTACGAAGCACACGGTCCTGAATTCTCCGCTAGTAGACAGATGCGACCTCGTTTTAAAAACCAAAACAGAAAAACTGTTGAGGAGGGGGCAAGAAAAGCTGGCCTTTCCATAAACCACAGAAATGCCCTACTGACAGGTTTATTAAGTGTATACAACTGCATTGTAAAAAGGCTTTTCCACAAAGACTGCAATGAACTGCAGGGGAGAGAGTAAGAAAGAAAGAAAGAAAGAAAAAAGAAGGAAAGGAAGAAAAGAATCACATGCGGTCAATGTTTTCATAAATATACAGAGGTGCTAGATGTGCATGGAAAAAAGGCAAAAGAACTGAAGCCGAGAGTGAGGCTGCAAGAGGTCGGCCACGCAGGCTCCCTCCCCCACCCCGAAACAAGGTCACGGCACACAGCCCCCTCCCCACAGCAAGGCTTGGCAGCTTCAGGGAACGTGAGATGGGTCATCGCAATGGGCAGTCGGACATGCTCAGTTGGAGAAAGCAAAGACGGCCGTTCGTTTCCCTTTTTTCACATCACACTTGTACTGTCTGACTAGCTGCTGAAGGACTTCTACGCGACCCCATCGGCCCTGGGGCTTAGCGGGGGAAGCAGGCCAATTCCCCAATTTTGAGGGGTGGATCGGTTTCCCAGACTTTCCAGAAGATGGTCTTTCCAAACCCCGTGAAGCCCGGCAGCCGGGAGGAGAGGTTTGACTTTGCGGGCAAAGGGCTTTGCGCTGAAAAGTATATGCAGCGAGATGCCCACACGCTTTTGGCTGCAAGGTCAGGCGGCCCACGAAACAGGCCTTGAAGGGGGGTGGGGGTGATGGGCTTGGAGAAGCCAGCTGGAACCATGGGAAGTGGAGGCCTGGCCGAACGCTTGGGGACAGTCTCTAAGCAGCTAGTGTTTTCAGTGTTGCCTTTGGGCAGCGAGACACATTAGTAAGACTCAAGAGATCAGGCTTGGATCACAGTCTTCTCTAGGAAGCCCCAAACTCCCCCCCCCCCTTAAGACCCCCCCCCCACCGCCGCTGAACGTCAGGGAGTGCCACTAAAAGGCGGCAGTGGCATGCAGCACCGGCTTTCTTTCCGCAAGCTTCCTGGGCTCAGGGTGCAAGTGGCTAGCAGTCTCCCTTGAAACTGTGATCCAAATGATCGCTTCCACAGTCCTGGAGAGAGTCTATTAGCCAATTAGTGTCTACTGTTTCGTCCTACGGCTTATGACTATGGTTTCAACTTGCAGAGGCTTTAGTGAGATTTTGTTCAAGGGCGGGCGGGCGGGCAAGAAAGCAGTAGCAGCAGTGTAGTGAAGGTAGGAAGGAGGGAAAAACCCATGCAGACATCCTTAGACTTAGGCCTCCAGACTTAAAGATGGAAAAGAATCAACTTTCACCTTTTCCTTTATTGTATCAACCTGCAAAGGAATTCAGAAGGTGCAGCTTAGAGAAAAAAAAAAAACCACACACACACGCACGCACACACGCACTCTATTGTTGAGCATTTGAGAATCAGCAGAGAGCAAGGGAGCAAAAACAAAGCAAAAACTAGGCCGAGGAACCCACAGCGGCCTCCTGGGAAACACCAGCTGCAGCACACCCGAGCCCGACTGCCGGACTCCGAGCCCGACTGGCGTCACGAGGTCCCGTTGTGCTCGGCCGCGATCGCGTTCCAGCCCAGAATTCCCCAGCGGCCGCGGCCGTCAAGGGGGCCGCCTCTCCCCGCACTCACGCTCAGGGGATGCAAGCCCTCCTGCAGCGCTTCAGCTGCGCTTCTGACAGGACACCGCCCTGCACGCCTCCCCACCCCAATCTAAACCGTTCACACAGCGCTTAGAACCCCCTGCTCTCTGCCGTCGTGATTCTGCAGTAAAAGCGTGGCCAGCCACCCCTTCTTGCGCTTTCTTTTTACCAATGTCCTCAGTAAAGCAAAAAAGAAAAAGTGTACAGAACGGGCAGTAAAGCCAGGCCTGCAAAGAGCAGACTGGCGACAGGTAAAAGGCAGTGCTGCCTAGGGGGCCCAGCACTAGATAGATAAATAATAAACCTCAGAAGAGCTCTCTGTCTATCTGACACCCTGCACGCTGCTCTGTGCCTGCCTGAACGACAGCGACTGCCGATGCAAAAGACAGTGGGAAGGCCAGAACCATCTCTCGGGCCTCGGGGGGAGCCCCCCTGCCAAACGCAGCCTGCTCTCCAGACTAACCCCTCGTGCGGCGACAGCGGGCCTACAAGCTGCAGTCTTTCTCCTGATCCTGGCAGCGCAGGATGGGCAACCCGTTCACCAGAAAACAGGCCACTGCCCTGCCCGCCGGGGCACGACCGCGCGAGCTGCTCCGAAGACCGCCTGATCCGAAAGCTACCCCGGGGACGAACGGAGCGCGCCAACGTGGACGGGGGCGCCGGGAGGCCGGCGTGGGAGTGGGTGGCGTGGACGCGCGTGCCGTGGCTCGGGGGCGCAGGAGGGGGCCTCCGCGGGTTCCGGGGGCGCTGGGCTTACCTTGCTCAGGTATTCCTTCATGACCTGGATGAAGTAGGGCATGGCGAAGTCCATGATGTTGTGGCTCCAGGCGGTTTCCAGGACCACGTCCGGCCGGAGGAGATCGTAGCACGTGAAGAGGCAGGCCCCGAAGCACTCCTGCTTGCCCTCCTGCAGGAACCACTGCAGCAGCTCCTCGGCCAGCTCCGTGTCCTTGGACTCGGACGCGTACTGCATGGCATCCTGGGAGGGAAGGGAGAGCAGCGTGAGGGGGGGCGGGTCCCGAGCCTGGTGGGGCGGGGGGGGGGGGGGGGGGGAATGGCCATTCTCGTTACGGAGCACTCTGGGCTGGGAAAAGCCATCCTAAACGCAAGAACTTTGCCGGCCACGGTGGTGAGGACAGCTCAGGCCCACGCAGGACCCCTCTGCGCCCCTACCAAGCTCCTTCGTTCCCCTTGACAGGCAGACACCCCCCCCCCCCCCCCCGCGAGCCCCTGGGCGGCATTACCTTGTACAGCCGGTCCTTCTTGCAGAGCTCCACACTTTGCTTCCAGCGGTTGTTGCCTTTGAAAAGGTAGGCGGCGATCCTCCGGAACTCGATCAGCTCGTGCTTCTCGAGGCGCTGCGCGAGGGAGATGTTGTCGAAGTTGTCGTAGGCGTCTATCGATGTCCTGAGGGCCTGGGTGGGGAGAGGCAACACGGGTCAGCTCTTTCCAAGTGGCACTTTTGACCCCAGCGGGCTCCCGACAGCCAGCTGGGGCACCGTTTCGAGCCCAACTTGCACCGAGAGCGCTCGGGGCAGATGGATGCAGGAGCTGGCATGAGTCTCGGCTTCCCGAGAGAAGCCCTTCTGGCCCCAAAAAGCTCTCTACCTGGTAGTCTTCCTCTGAGATGAAGAGGTTGTTCAGGGACTCGTTCACCGACTTGTTATTGTGGTTCTGGACAGAGCGCAGGTAGGGCTTCACCAGTGGAAGCTGTTTCACCTGTCGACCGAGAGAGAGAGAGAGAGGGCGCTACGTAACGCACCCAAAGCATTCCAGAGCTGCTGCACCGGGGCAGAGGGGTGACGCAGCGACTGCCGGAGAGCTTCTGGCCCCGCCGCTGCCACAGCGGATCCAATGCCACCGGCGTATTCCACACCCCAGCTGCAGCTCCCCGGTGAGAGGGCTCAGACCAGGCAGGACTTCAGCAGCATACGGCTCTTCACCAAACCGGGGACCAGCATGGGCCTCACAAATGCCTCCCTTTCCCATTTATCAACCCACGGCCTGCTGGAAGTTCTCCGTCGTGCGTGAGAGCGAGCGAGCACACATGTCTCTGACAGCCTAGTTCTCATTAGACCTTGGGTCAGAAAAACCCACACGGCTTCAGTTAGTTCTGCAGTTCTGGTGTGGCACCGGACAGGTCTTTCCTGGCAGCCCATTTTTGAAAGTCTAGAAATCTCAGTTCACGAACAAGTCCCGAAGAAACTTTTTATTTCACAGCTCTCTCTCTCTCTCTCTCTCTCTCTCTCTCTCTCTCTCTCTCAAACACACACACACACACACACACACACACACACACACACACACACACACGGAATTCCATGCACCATTCAGCTTTAAGGCTTGTCCACAAAGCAAGAAACACACTCCAGGCTTACCGCAAAAGGGGATACATTTTGCCATGACCGCTAGAGCAGAGAGAGAGGGTGACGCACACGCCCCGGCCCGCCACAAGCCATCAAGGGGAGCTCCTACCTTGCTGAAGAAATTGACTGCCCGGGTGTGATCGAGGCGGGGAGACAGCACCATCAGCAAATCGTTGAGCAGCAGGGGCTTGAACTCCAGGTAGAACTGGATGGCTTTGTAGTACAGCTCCACATTGGCCACCTGTGGGAAGGGCAGGCAAGCCGGGAACAGTTGCCAAGAGGGCAGCAGAGCGAGCGGCCAAGAGGCGGCCACCGGCCCAATTCACCCCGGGACAAAAGCACTCTTCCCCCAAAGCCACGTCCCTCCTGGGAGCGGCTCCTGCACCCGAACCCCATCGCCCGGCCCCGATAAACACGGCACACGTCTCCTGCGCGTGCGTCGCTCAGGTGAGTTCTTCGCTAAGAACACCTTCACGTGCCACAAAGTACTGGTGGGGGGGCGGGGGGGCCTCCACGCAGGAGACGCAACGGAACAAGCGGGAGCCGGCCGGGAAACAGGCGGCACCTTGGTGATGATGTCCTTGAACTGCCCTTCCTTCCAGGCATCCGTCGGGTGGTTCATCATGGTGATGATCGCGTTGTCATATTCCTCGTATTTATCATAGAGGAAGACCAGCTCTCCCCACAGGTGTGCTTGCTCAGCCGCCCGTAACACCTGCAAGGAGCGAGAAAGGGGCCTGGGTCTTGGCAGCCGGCAGACTTCCGAGCCCCCGGCACTGCACCGTGCGCAGATCCGAGCCCGCCGGCCTTCTCCATCCGGACGTCAATACAGAAGCCCTGGCCAGTTCACAGCGAAGGGCAGGCAGGGAGCCACCTCTTGTGGTGAGGTTCCTTGAGCGGGAGACACTTCCCATCGCCTTGCCCCCGGGGCCTTCCGCGTGCAGAGGAAGGGCCCTTCCGTCAGGCCATGGCCTTCCCCCAAATTGGGGAACGAGCCCCCGCTCATCCCTAGCTCATGCCCTGCATCCGTTGTACTGCACCTAAGCTCCCAGCCTCCGTCCACAAGGGCCTCCCGGTCTTTCTTTCCTTCTGCACCTGAGCCTTCTCTTCGGCTCTGCCCGGCCGCAGTGTCAGAAAGAAGCACGTACCTTGGGAATATTGACGCGGGACCAGAAGAGCTCCAGGTGCTCCCTCATCTTCTGGGGCTTGAATTTTGAGTAGAGGATGGCCAGTTCCGTGAACATGCCCATATGGGCCCGCTCCAGCCCCAGGGCCGCTTCCAACATGGTGATCAGCTCTTCGAAGTAGCCACGGTCCTCGGAGGGGAAAGAGAGAGGGATACATGTCAAGCCTCCGGAACAAGCCGCTTTTTTGGAAAGGCAAACGGTGCGGCAGGTCTGGGAAGGGCGCAGATGCTTTCTGCCGTTACCTGGTAGTAGTTGATGAGCTCCTCCAGCTCGTCGGCATGCACGACGATGTGGAGGCCACACATCTGGGCTAGACGGAACTCCTTCCCGTCGACGCAGGCAAAGCAAACCTGGAACGTTGAAGCCGGATATTAGTGCTTGGAGAAAAAGCAAGAGGAGGAGAGGGTCCTACCGTCAAACCTCCACACGAAAGCCAACCGGATTGGGATCCGAGGAGCCAACTTCTCCAATGCTGTCACCTTTCACATTTAAGAGCTTGACTGAAATTGGTTTAATTTTGTATACTGAATTTTTATGTTGCATTTCATTCTCCCCATTTCCGGTTTGTAATGTGAAGAATTGCGGAGACCTGCCCAGACTAATTCCAGCTCTTGGCCAGGGCGGAAATAAAATAATCACAATCATTGTCTGCGATTCTCTTTGGCCTGGTAAGCATTCCGTGAGAATGCCGGAAAGAAGGAATGCTCAGGAACACTTTTCTCTTCAACTGACAGTCTGCTTCCTTTGACTGCTGCCCCACCTTTGCTCAGAGGCGCCTGGCGTCACTTATGAAAGCTCTCCCCCCACCCCTTTCATCGCCACGATGACCCTTCGAGGTAGGCCAGACTGAGGAGGCACACCATCCTGGCCTGAGCGAGTCCTGAAAGCTAATGACACGCGGCAGGAAACGGAAGCCCCACCTCCTTCCAAGTGCGAGTGCTGTTCGCTTTCCGAGCCCCGTCAACAGCTGCCTGGTACTCCCCAAGGTGAACCAACGTGGAAGCCAAACGGCCAAAGTTGGACACATTGTTGTAGAGGAGTTTGGCTGCGTCGTACATCTTTTCATCGTAGCAACGATCACCGACCTATGGAAGCAAAGGGGCACTGCTTTTATTTCCCATTTTGGCCACGGAGATTAGGCGAGCCGTCGGCTTTCCCTAACTTGAGGCTCTCCAAAAAGGTTGGACGACAACTCCCAGCTTCCCCGGCCAGCCGTGTAGTGATGCGCTACAGACAAACCTATTTTATTAAGAAAACGGCGGTTCACTCGTTTCTCTTATTGCAAGCAAATTCAGAATTGCAGGGATTCACTGGTTCCATTTGTATCCCACCCTTCTCAGAGTAGCAATGCGATTTCTCACCCCTTTAACAACCCCCCCACCCCCCGTGAGGCACAACACACTGCGAGGCAGCAGCTGGCCCATGTCACCAAAACACCGACAGAGCTGAGTGGAGATTCTAAAGCTGGTTCTTCCGAGCCTCAGACAATTCACTCCCACATTCTACATAAAACAGTTCTGATAATGCCGACCCCCCCCCCCGAATTATCTTTGCATCTAAAGCAAGGGGAGAAATTGGTAAAAGGGAAGAATCAGCTCCTCATTCAAGCCCTGCCCACACAGAACGGAACGGAACAAAGCCCTTGATGGCGACGTGGCGAGCCCGATACTCACTTGCTGGATGTGAGCGTTATTCGGGCCATTGATGAATTCTTCCAGCTCTGCCAAGCGGTTTGTCTTCGCCAGCGCGAAAATGAGTTCTGTCTCCACGTAGGACTCCCGGGCCTTCCTGCGGGCCATTTGCAGGTACTTCACGAGCTCTTCCCAGTTTCCTAGGTGGGGAAGCGGGGAGGAGGAGGAGGAAAAAGGCAGCAGGTCATGCTATGGGGACTCTCTGAGAGTCTTGCCCCGCTCGTCTCCGACCAGGCAGAGAACTCCTGGGCCCTGTGGCCATGGCTTCCCAGCCAGAACGCAGCAGAACGGGCTTCCCCGCCCCTTCAAACAGACGGGGCAGCACCCTGGCACGTGCGTGCCCCTGGCGAAGCGGAAGGGATGAACCACCGGCGTCCCGATTAGTTTTTACTCGGGCTGTGTGGGGAGTTCTGTTATAGCCAAAACAGTTGCTCATTCTTGCTGACTGGAACACACGCTTCCTAAAGCCGGCGAGGGGGGGGCGAAATTGGGTCAGCCAGACAATCCGCGGCTTTGTTGTCCGTCCCTCACACTGAGCGAGTCTATTCACACATCTGGGAGAGGATAAAAGCGCTCCGCGTGGACGTGGGGGGCCCCGCTGCTGGGGGGAGCCACCTCTCGCCTGTGCCGCCATGGCGATGGGTTTCAAAGGTAGCCTCCGAAGGAGCCACAGAGACCGCCCTCCAGCAGTTAAGGGGCATGAACGGGGGAGAAGCGAGAGCCGGCTGGGGCCCGGCAAGGACTGCTCCCTGAAGCCAAAGCACAGCCAAGGGGTTCCCACGACCCTGAATCTTTGGCTTCATCCTGGAGGACAACAAAGCATGGGGGGGGGGGGGAATTCTAGAAAGAAAAAAGATTTGACACCGCCCTGCGCCCGCAACCTGCTTCGGGCCAGGCCGCCCCCCAAGAGGCACCAGGCTGCAGTACAACCCTCATTTGAGAAGACAAATTCACCAGCCGGTGGGAGGACAGGGAGCAGCATTCCTTGCCTCCAGAGCAGCGTGCAAAGTGCTGGAGATTTCGAGCCCTCCAGCTTTCCAGAGCAGGGCTGGAAAGCTCCACGTGCAAACCATCTGACATCATGGCGATCGCTGCTGCAGCTTTGCTCAGCCCAGGACTCTCCGTATGCATCATACACGGTTGGCGGTGCTGGCTGGGGGTGACGGGAGGAGCAACCCCAAGCACTGGGAGGGCCCCAGGTGGAGGAAGGCTGACCCACCGGAAGCCCTCCCAGGCCTTCCTTGGGCACGAGTTCAATAATTGCACTGAACCAGAGAGCAGTCCTCAGCCAAGAATGTGGGGCAGGAGCAGAGGAGGAGAGTTAATTCTGCTGCCCTGGCTGGAGCGTGCTGCGGGCTGCCAGATTTTTTCTGCCTCGCATGCATAGGATTCCCCCCTAAAGCCTGCTAGGAACAACCCCCAACAAAGCTTAAAATGGCGAGCTGAAAAACAAACCGAGTTCTTCTTCTTCCCTTCTTGCCTCCCCATCCCCTCTTCTTTGCTTAATATGTCTTTTTACATCGTAACTCCATGGGCAGAGACTATCATGTTTTGCTGGATAGGGTCAGGAATAGGAAAAACCTCTGGCAGCCTTTTAGGCCGCGAAGCAGGATAGGAACACTTTAAATCCATCTATGGAATGTGCTCCCCAGAGAGGTTCACCCAGCGCCATTGTTATTTGTTTTTCGGCACCCGGTTAAGACCTTTTTATTCCAGCGATCTTTTAATGAGTTTTAATATTGTCTTTTCTATGTTTTTAATTGCAGCTAGTGTGGGTCGGGAATTTATTTATGTTATTTATGTTGTTTATCCTTTATATTGTAAGCCATCCTAAGGCTTTTTTGCGAATAGGACGGCATATAAATATGATAGACAGACACACAGACAGAAAAGAAGGAAGGAAGGAAGGTTCTAGTATGTACTGCCAGTTTTACACCATTCCACCTGGATATCATGTACAATTTACAAGTTCTTACACAAAGTCAAAGGTGGAGCAGCAGAAAACATGGTAGGCATGTTGTGAGTGGAGCTGGCTAGAGCTGGGGTCAGACTAGATGGCCCAGGGGACCCCTTCTGACTCGCTCTGTTTCTATGTTTCTAAAATCATAAATTCTGGGCCCTTACCGCTGGTATTGGCAGCCTGGACAACCTCCATGTATGACGAGGGATCGTCTGCTTTGATGTAGGAGTCTATCGCTTCCTTGACCATCCCTTTGTGAAGCTGAGCTTTGGCGAGCTGGCTCCACACGGCGGGCTCGTTGCAGCGCTCGGCAAATTCGTAGGCACGGTCCAGATTCCCAATGTGCTCGATCAAAACCTAGACGAGACCAGCAAAGTTTGCCATTCGGGCCAGGCCTTGTGGCAAAAGGCTTAAGGCAGGAGTTTTATCGGTTATGGACCCAAGAGGAGCACCCGTGGTGCAGAGGGGCACCGGAACTAAGGAACAGGAATTAGGCCTGGCATAGGTCTAAGAAACGCAGGCTGGGTACAGAAGCTTTGGGGCTTAATGACCACCCACGCCGAGCTGGACACAAAGCAGCCTTCCCCAGTCTGGGACGCTCTAGCCGTGTTAGACTACAATACCCATCATTTCTAGCCCAAGTCCTAGAGGGGAAAAAAGGGGCAGAGGCACATGACCATTCCACGGCCGATACTAAAGGTAGGCCTGGAAAACTACCCAGAAATTACATATGAACCCCTCCAAGCTCCAAGACAGGGAAGGACGGGATAAAGGGAATGCAGGTGTTGAATCCGGGTCCCCAGTGCTTTTTGGTTTGGCGTGCACTTTTGGAAATTCAGCAGAATGTTGCAGACACCTGCTGCAAAGCAGGAGCTTGCTCTTTTACACAACGGCTGCTGTGAAGGGTATGGCTGGTCAGCGAACACCCTTTTTCCAGAAGTGATTAAAAGAAAGCCATCTTGTCCAAGCATGAAAGTGCAAGACAGAAGGTTTGGGTTCTTGGCTCTCAAACACAAAGCTACACTTTGAACCCAAGTAAAGACACTGCTGGAGGTTAGCACATCGCTTTGCGACATGGCAAGCTCCCAGTTAATTCTTTTTTCAAAAAGAACATAGCTCAGGCTGGAAGAAATACCTCTGACGGCCAGAAGCAAAGCGTGTTCCAAAAATGCTTCCAAATATGTTAAGTAGATGTTGGAAACGTAAACACACACCGGGTACTTTCTATCATTTGTGGTGGACTTTCGTTAAGGCAAAAAAATATTGGGTTAAAATACACAAATGGCTTGAGGAAATGCTGCACAGACCGTTACCATTTAAACCTGAAGTCTTTCTATTAGGTATTATCCCTGATGACTTTGATAAAGCAAGCTATATATTTAGCTCTACATACAACGACTGTGGCGAGGATTACATTTGCCCAACACTGGAGAAGCGAAGCGCCACCTACGGAAGACTCGATTTTAAAAAAGATTTTGGATTATGTGGAGATGGACAGATTGACTTTGTCTTTGAAGAAGAAAGATACATACTTCTATCAAACCTGGAATATTTTCTATCATTGGTTAGAGAAGCGGGACTATGCGTAGAATCGAATATGGTTGTTGAGTGTAGAAAAGAGTGAGATGTCGACCCAGTGTGTCCAATGCCCTGAATAATTGTTGTTTTAGTTTTGGATTGATAGAGAAAATAATAAAATGTGATTAAAAAAAGAAAGAAGCAAAGCATGTTTGACAAAACCCCCTCGCACGGTCCTCTTTCACAGCATTTCCCCAGAGAGGTCCGCCTGGCGCCGTTGTTATTTGTTTTTCGGCGCCAGGCGAAGACCTTTTTATTTAAGCGGCATTTTAACTGTTAGTATTACTAGATTTTATCTGGCCAGGGCGGCTTATTTTATATTGTATTTTTGTATTTTTAATTTAATGTTTATATTTATTGTAATTGATATTATAATTACTTTTAATTTATTGTTGTAAGCCGCCCCGAGGCTTCGGCGAATGGGGCGGCATAAAAATGTATTAATAAATAGATAAATAAAAAATAAAAAGGGCCGCTCCCAAATCCAAGTACTTGGAACGCCAAGTTTACCTGTACAGCAGACGTGTTGACATCAAACTTCCGGAAGATGGCAAAAGCCTCTTCGAACAGCTCGTTGCTGATGGCAATGTTGGCGATATCCGGGGCGTCGTAGTTGTCCAGGCGATTGATGTATTCCATGACCCGGGTGCGGTCGGCCTTGATGGCTGTCAGGATGAGAAGGTTCTGGAGGTTTCTAGGAAGAAGCCGGAGAGAGCAAGCCATCATTCCAAACAACCCAAGACTTGTGGTGAGGTGCCCAGTTTATTCTCCCATCTCTCTTGCTGAAAGGGTTTCTAGTCTTTTCTGTCAAGGGCAGCATGGCAGGGGAAAGAGGGGATGCAGCCAGCACTGGACCAAGCATGGGTACATCAACTATCTCTCTCTCTCTCTCTCCCCCCCCACCCCCTGCCGATTTTGGCACTGTTCCAAAGCAAGGCCAATTGTGCAATGGTGAGCAATGTCCTGCTTTCGCTGCTGCACAAGGTCAGCCAACACAGAAGATAATACAGGGTGGCTTACTCTCTTGTTGAATTTACATTGTTCTGTAAGTCTTGGCGCCCTCCTTCAACAAGCTGCCGGGCTTTTGAGGTCTCGAAGGCACTGCCCACAAGCTTCCAGGCCTCTCTCTTGGAGTATTATCTGGTGCACGGGGAGGAGACAGAACGCCGGCTACTAACCTATGTTCACTGAACACGGAATTATCGAGAACGATCTTCTCCAGCAGCTCAATGAGTTCATTGGGAAGGTCGGCTGTCATGAAAGCCTTGACTGTAACGGAGACTTCTTCGGGGTCCTGAGTCTCCGAAAGAGCTGTCTGAACAACCTACCAACGGGGGAAGAAAGTCAGGGAGCGAGTTCCTGCAGCTGGCTGCTTGCGGAGCCCCTGCCGGCAACGCTGCAGAAGGGCGAGTCTGCAAAGGGACCCCCGAGAGCGGTACCTGGTCGATCAGGGGCCTCCGGTAAGGGTTGCTCTCCAGCAGCACGCTGGCCCACAGCTCCGGGTCCTTGCGGCGCACCAAGTAACGCGAGAGGCTCTTGAAGAGGGAATTCTCATTGCACACCTGGAGGGCAGAGGAGCAGTCAGTCAGGTGGGGAATCCAGTCTTTTGAAGAGCAGGGGGGGACTGGCACCCAGATCCAGGAAGGGGGGCAAGTTAAGACGCAACATTTGGTCTTCAGGTGTTCTGCCAGGAGCCGGGGGGGGGGGGCGGAGTCCTGCTAGTCGTCATGCAATGGCTCGACAACCTGGCTTTGGCCCACCCCACATCTTGGTCTCCCGTCCCAAACTGTACGAAGCGCAGCAGAAGCTTAGCACCACTGGGACAGTGGGCGATTTTAACATCCTATGGGGCTGCAAAGCGCTTCGCAGCACATCAATGCTGCTTTCACTCTCATCACAGCTACATCCATAAAATCCAGGCCGACGGGAAGCAGTCCGTTCTGCGGTTGCGCTGCTCTGCCCCTCCAGGGAAGCTGCTACAGACACGACGCCCGAGGCCCTCGCCTGTGCCTTTTTAGATCGTACACTTGCAGGGAAGGAGGCAGCTTTGTTTAATCTGCTGCCCTGGGAGCCTCTTCGGCTGAGGAACATCCTAACGACTGATCAGAGTCCCATAACTGCAAATGAGGGGACTCCCCTGCCCGAGAGCGCGAGGACCGGATGAGACGGACACACCACCTGCCCCAGGACACCTCCTTCTGACAGAAGGACCGAGGAGAAGCGGCAGCTGCCGCCTGCTCTTCAACCTCCTCGGCACCAAGAAGAGGTGACGCCACCCCCCAGACCCAGCAGAAGTGGGCCGCATCCCCAGGTGCGGGCCTGGCTTTGGCCGCCCTTCGGTCTCCGACCCGCCCTGGGGCTACGCACGTTAATGAGCTCCTGGTCGCACTGGCCCCGCTCGTACGCCACGCAGGCCAGGTGAGGGTCTCTCTTCTCGCAGTACTTCCCCACCACCCGGCTGTCATAGTAGGGGTTCTCGCGCAGGAATCTTTCGGGGTTGTTGTTGCTGTCGATGTAGATTTTGGCCAGCGCGTTGTGCGTAGCCGGCTCCTCGCAGCCTTCGTGGATTCTGGCTTCCAGCCACGGCAGCAGAAGCTTCAACCTGGGGGAGGAGGAGAAGAGCATTTCGTCCAGGCGGGCCTGAAGGCTGCCTTAAACAAGAGAGAGTTTGCACACCACAGTCCTCTGGAAATCAGCCTTGAAGTACCACAGGGAGCGGCCAGCTTACTTAAGGACAGACGCCGGAGCTAAACTGTCGCCGTGTGGACAGAACCCTGGGCTAACTGGACCTTCGGCCCAATCCAGAACGGCGCCCCTTCCATTTTTAAATGACTGCTTAGACGTGATTCAGGTCGCGAATTAAAGGACATTCTGCCTCATTTGGGAGTGATGAGATGACGAGGGCACCTGGAGCATTTAATGGCAGGCTGTTTTAGCCACGGGGGGCGGGGGGGCCTGTCAGGCCCTTCTGCTCTCAGCACTGCCACGAACTCCCCAGAAGGCTTAAGGCAGGGCTCTGGATGCTCCGCTTCATTTCTCACCCTTCACTTATGATGTGAAGAACCCATGGCTTGGCAGAGCTGGTATAATCCTAATGTGTGGCATCTGCCAGCACGCTTTGGCCACGGCAAAGAAGCTGTTTTGAGGACAGTCCTCTTTGGCCAAGAGCGTTCGCTTACACCAAAATAAATGTGTGTGTCTTTAAGATGCCAGGAGTCTCTTGGCTGGTAACCCCCGCAGGGACCATCCTCCGCCCGGGGAGCATTCTTAAACTCTTCCCCACTGGCCGCACCAAGTTACCTGTTCCTCTTCTCCACTTCTGCAACGAGCTCGTCCGTGGAGAACTGCCCCCTGACCACCAGAATCAGGCTCTTGATGACATCCTCAGAGCAGTCCACATCGAGCAGGCCTCCGATGACCACAGGGAGGCGGCTGGGGTTCACCTACAAGAAACGTGGACCCTCAGTGGGACGGACGGGCACGGGAGAATCGGGAGGTCACTGGCAGGCGTTGTCTTCAGGGGAGCTTCCCAGCTGGGCAAGGGACTCGGGAAGGGAAAGGAACGTGTCAAGGGCGTGCTTCAGCCACGGCACCGTCCCACGGGCCGCGTGGCAGTCTGGTGCACTGTGCCCCCCTGCCTGCAGGGGGCACCCATGCCAAACGGACTTGGGGCCAGCCTTGCTTGCTGTTTTAGGGCCGTGGCGCCATTCCCCGGGTGTATCGGCTCTCGAGAATCGGCAGCCGCGGTCAAGACAGACCAGAAGCGTCCCTCTTCTGGAAGCGGCCCCCTCAGTCTTACCTTTTGCACGTAGATCTCGATGTACTTTTGGAGGTTGTTTCGGTACAGGTACAGCACCAGGTCGTGGACGAAGTCAAAGCGGTCGCAGACGATAATGAGGGGGAGCTGATCCGTCAGCTTCGCTTCCTGCAAAAGGGGAGAAAGCCGCATTTGGATCCCAGCAAGAGCGGAACCGTGCCGTGAACGGCCGGCCGGCTGGCGAGCACAGGCGCTGGTCCACCCCGGGAAGAGACTTGGCATTCAGCTGCCACCTCAAGAGCATCCTTTAAAGGATCTGACCTCGGCTCCATCCCAAGCATACTTTAGGGCCTCGCCCTGCTCCAAGCAGCTACAGGTTTGAGGAGGAAAGCCATCAACGACCCAGCCACGCCTTCTTGGCAAGCTCACAACGGCAGAGACCAGCTTTACAAAAAGCACAGGACGCCAGCGGATTACGGGGCCACGCGAGACGCCAGCGCTTGCTGGCTGCGGCAGCAATGGGGTGGGCAGGATTGACTCTGGGACTGCCGGGCGAAAACAGCGTTTAGGGTCACATCGAAGGGTGGCGTGCTGACTGTGTCCTGCCCTTCCTAACCGAGCCTGCCTGATTACCTGCACTGAATTAATCATTCCCAAGGGACCACAGCGGGTGGGCGGCGTGTTCTTCCTTGCTCCATCTTGGTATTGGGCCAGCCTCAGACGCTGAGGCCAACTAAACTCGGGGAGCTAAAATTTAGACCTGGCTCTAAATGAGTCAGGGCCAAGCCCTGCTTATAAGCCACACATTCAAAATGGCCTAATGAAATCTTAGTCTCAGGCCACATAAAGAAGCAAACTCCACAGGATAACCCCCCCCCCCCCCCCCCAATTAGTTCTTCCTCCCTTCCCAAAGATCCTCTCTGGATAACCTCTTGGATAAACCTCTCTAGGATAAACATACCATGAGGAATCTTTGCCACCCCGAGTTTGGCTGATGTAGCCAGCCTACGCTGGCCCGAGAAGCAACTCAACATACAGGGGGAGCAAAAGGGAGAAACCTGCTCTAACGGTGCTGCCCTTTCTGGCTACTGCAATTCATTAAGTCTCCCTTGGAAGAACGAAGGAACCAGCACCGCTCTTGTCTGCAAGGAGAAAGGAGGCCATGACCACCTGCCCCCTGCCCCCCCGCCACACACACAGGATTGTGTTACAAAAAATAGGGGTGTCACCCAACAGGCACAGCCGCTGTGAGTGCCAATCGCAGGATCTAACCCTATACACAAAAGTGGACACCGAAGGAGGCAGCAGAGTGGGAGGAGCCTATTCTGCTGGATTTACCTGGTACATGTCCTGAATATTCCACAGACACAAGGAACAGCACAAAAGACAACACACTGATCAGAAAACAGTTTGGCTACGCAAGATTTACCACTCCCAGCTTCTCCTCAAGTGCAGCTGCTGGAGTTACCCTAAAAGCACCCCCCCTGAGGGGGGTTCTTTTCCTCTCCTGCCCACCTCCCTCAAAACCAAGATCCATTCCTTGGTAAGTTTCCAAAATGTGGACGCTGTGGGATACAAGCCGCCTGGCTGAGCATAAGGTGTGAGCTAGGGCGGTGTGTTCATGCTGGGGGGGCCCTGGGTCGTCTTGAGGCCCCTCGCCGGGGGTGGCGAGTGCCAGCGAAGGCATGGAAGTCCCCACTGGCCAGACAGCTGCATCCTCCCCTCCGTGCCTGTGATTTGAGCCTCGCTCTAGGGTTACACCGTACTGTTCCACTTCGGGGCACAGCACAGCACGGCGTTCGCACTTCTCGGGACCACGTGCGAACGCACACCCTGCCATGAGGAAGCTACTGAGAGACCCTGAGAAAGGAGAAGGTTCCGGAAAGCACAGCGCGCCCGCTTGTGGGGGCTTGCTCCTGCATTCGCTGGAAGAGGGCAAGACTCCCGAGCAGCCAGAGCAATCCTTCTGCGCTTGTGTGCCAGCTGCACACAGGCAGCCGTGGCAGAGGCGCAGGATTCTACCCTCCTCGAGCGGCCCATTCCAACTCTGCACGAGCCACGGCCTGTGTGCCTTCCCCATCGGGAAGCCCTCCTATACCAGCAATTCATGCAGGAAAGGGGGACTGGCTCTGAGCAAGCTGTTTTTCCTCCTGTTTTGACTCAGAAAAGATTCACCCCCATTCTGACAAGTTTGGGTAACACCGATGGAGTTTGTGCTTTGCTAACGTTGCATTTCAGTGTTTACTAATTTAAAACTTTTCTAGACCTTCCCACTACCAAAGTCTCAGGATGGTTTAACAATATAAAACGTAAAAAATGTAAAACACAGTGTCCTAAAATTCAGCGAATAATGAATTCAGCAGGATTCTGGGAGCACATTTTTCTGGTTAGTTTTATGGAATGCTTCTGCTCTTCCAGAAAACAAGTCGTTCCTGTTCCAAGTCTAAAGCTAATATTGGCCCGAATCGGGTTTTTCAAGTGGCCTCCATCACCAGCAGATAAAAGTGCTATAAACATGAACCAGCAGCAGGGAAGGCTTGTGGGGGAGAGGGGGAATTCCCTGGTCCCTTTACCTTGAGAAAATTCTTAACCCGCTCTGGGTCGTAGCAGTTGCTTTCTCGACAAATTCTTTCCACTTCTTTTATCTGGCCCGTCTTGCAAGCGGCTTGGATGTATTTGAAGTGCACGTCGGCATCCTGGCTGAAGTTGACGATGGAGCCCAGGAAATAGAAGAGACCTGAAAGGGAGTGGGAGGCGGGGAGCTTAGAGCAGCGGCATCGCGCCCCTCTCCACCCAAGGGCCAAATTCCACTTCAGAGGAACTCCCAGGGGCCTCACGCCAGCAGGTCAAGGCAAGACACCCGTCGGAACTTCAAAGCTCTTGCTAGGAATAACCATGAGTAACTCGGCCTTATTAGGAGCGAAATAGCTAGGTGCTACCAACAGGACTGCGAGCCAGAGAAAAGGGGTTGCGACGGGGGGAGGCAGTGTGCCAGATGTTGGACTGGGAGCCCAGGCAGTGCAGACACGACACCCCTGATTTAAAAGAACAGCAATACCCATCTGCTTCACTGGGTTTCCCTGAGGACGGCAGGCCCAGGGCTAAGTGTTCCCAGGGCTTCAGTTCCTAACAGAAACTCTGTGGGTGATTTAGTAAGATCCAGTCATTAATGTCAGATGACTCTTAAATGCCGAAACCTGCCCCCGCTGACCCTGAAGTCCATACAGCCTCCCATGTAAACACTGCGTGACTCACTGAAGAGCTAGATTTGCATGAAGTCTGTTTCTTGTGTCCCGGCATGTTTGATGCACGCTTCTGGATACTCGGTTTGACGTTTTAATTATCCTTGCCATGTGTCCGTCATGGTCTTTGGCTCAAACCATAATATTTATCTTGGATGTCACTATAGTCATAAAATGTAGCGCAAGCATATTTACTGCTCTTCAGTGGAGGCGTCATCTTTGCCCACTCATTTTAAATGGGTCGATGCAGAGAAGGGCTACACAGGAGACGCACATCGGTCATCGGGCTGAGCAGAGCGCCAAAGGAGGCGGTATTTGGTGCGTCGCAGGAAAAACAGAAAGTTGGTGAGGAAACTCAGCTGGCTGCGCGCCTTGGCTGGAGAAGGAACAGCTGTGGGGAACTTGCTGTACTCCATCCTTTCAGAAGAACGCGTAACACAAGCTTGCCACTAAGAACATGTGGCTGAGCTTCAGTTTTTCCTCCTCTCTCCCAACCCCTTTTTCATTTTGTGATGTGCCCTTTAGACTATAAGCCGGAGGGCAAGGACTGGTTCACGCTAAGTTTTTATAAGCTGCTCCGGGGGGCTTTTCTTTTGGCTGAACGGAGCAAAAAGACATATAAATGTATACATAAATTATTTTAAAAAATAACTCCCTTCGCGCTTTTATGGCAATGTTAATAAGAACACCACCGCCAGCACCCAGGGGGACATCTTGCCGCTTGCCTGCCGTGCCCCAACTATTGCTGAAACACGGCCTTGTGCGACTGCCGAGTCAGATGAGCATCCTGCAAGCTTTCGAGGAATGCTGAACAGATAGCGAGTGTAGCAGCTTTCTTGACATGAACCCTTCGAGAGAATGTGGAAGATGGCGGCAAAATGCAGGGGTCCGGGCCGGAGTGTAGGCCTCGGGAGTCAGAAATGATTTTGCTCAAGGGGGTGTCCTGCCACGCTCTGCTATCCCTGCTCCCCCAGTGCCTGCGGGCCCCAAAAATGATGGAACGGAGGGCCCCTGACATCCTGTGGATGTGCGTAATGTGTTTCCGCCTGGCAAGAATCTTGCATTCCTCCACAGACCCTCAGAGGATGGCTCCATCTGGAGTCCACCACCAACCACAACTTTCACTAAGGCCCCATGGACCAGAAGCAGCGGAGGAGACCGGGGCAGGCTAAGAAAAATGTGGGGCGTGCCCCACTCGCCTCCCGCTGCCAGGAAAGAAACGCTGAATCGAGGCCATTCCAGCAGGTCTGTTGAAAACTTAATTTCTTACCTCCCCGCATCTCCTTTTCCTTGTGTGACATCTCCTTTTAGATTGTAAGCCTGCAGGCACAAGCTGTCATTTACTGACTCTAAGAGCCCCTTTACGGGCTGGGAAGTGGCATAAATACATGCATTTTAAATACTTTAAATGTTTTGAATGCACACAGTATTTCCAGCACAGCAATTATAACCAGATCATCCCCAAACACGACAAAGGCTATTACAACATTGGAAGGAGAAAGGTTTGCTTCCTACGAGGCAACAGACTGAGGACACTTTCAACAATTGGGTGGGTGACATCAAGGTGCCACACTAGAATGGATACGGCGGGGTATGTGGTCTGCCCTTCCTGAAGTTTGTGCGTAATTGTTACCTTCAAGCGCCTGTAGATCAAAAGAAAAAGCCATCCAACAGTCTGCAAAGACGTGAATGTAGCAATTATGCATATTATAAGAATTATAATATACAATTACGCAAGCTTTGCTGAAACTTGCAAGACAAAATGTTATTTTAAAAAGCCCTCCCAGGAATGGCCTGTGCCCTTCTGGGTGGGCACCTGTGTCTGGGTTCTGCACCCTGGCTGGGACCAGGTGGTGGGCCGAGCAGCTCGGGGAGCGGCGCTCGCGCTAACGCAAGCACAGACAAGCCAAGACAGAACCGGGGACGCGCCGGGTTGCCAACGCACCTTCAAAACTCTTGAAAGATTCGAAGAGCTCAATTAGAGCCTGCGTGGAAAGCTGCTCGTGGTACTTCGAAGCCACCTGGACACAGATCTGCAGGTTCTGGCGGATGTTTGCGGAGAGCATCGCGCGCAGGCACTCCAGGGAGTCCTCCACGGAAAGGGACCCAAAATAGTTCACCAGCCACTGCAAGGCAAGCGCGGAATGAGAGCGAGACTGTGACTTCAGGCTCGTCAGGCCGGCTCATGCCAGAACAAAGCACCCACGGCAGTGCACGGGAACTGGAGGGATTCGGGCACCCTACCTCCGGGTTGAGAAGGTGGGTGTGAACGACGGCACGCTTGATGTCATACAGGTCGGTGAAGTGCTCCAGAGCTCTCTGGAGGAGACCTGCCTTCTCGCACAGCTGAGCGATGTGGGCCCGGTCGTAGTGAGTGAACATTTGGTTTCCTAAGATGGCGTCCGCAACCTGGAAGGAGAGACGCGGTGAGGCCTTGTTGCAGAGATTGAGGCCTTCCCTGCCACCCCGGCAGCCCACCGGGCTTATACCCAAGTAGGTTACACGGGAAACTGGCAACCTGATACCCTGTCTTCTGTTCCTTCCTTCCCCGCATGCGCTCAGTACTTCGGAGGCAGGTGACCAGTAACAAACCGCAGGGACCCTTCCCAGGCCTCCCATGCAGTGGCCACTTTGATCTTGTTTTTTCCTGCCCACCTAGGAAAGCCTGCCATTTCAGAGGACTTGGGCTTGCTTGTGCCTGAGCCTGCTAGACGCCCCTGTTTGCTGCCCTTTTGAAAACGCCGTGCTTGCGAGTTGGAGTGCGTGGCGTTTTCACTGCAAACGTAGGGGCAGAATCACGGGATACGTGCAGAGAAGGGAGCCAGGTAAACCACCTGGGCAGAAATGGCTACAGCAGCATCTCCTCCACATGAAAACGACATTTCCAAGTGCAGGGAAGGGATGAGCCCCTTAGGAGCAGTGGCTTTTCAGAACCACTTGGGAACGGCCAGCGACAAGGTCTGTTTGCCGAGCGGTTCCCCTGAAGCCAACGTCGGTCCAGTCCTGTGCTTCTGAAGCAGGTACGGGACCCACCTGAGGGGCATGCATGAGATTCATTTCAAGCAAGCGGGTCTGCAGAGGGCCTTCGGAGGGGCGGTTGTTCTTCAGGGCATCCAGCAGAAAAGCTGTGCACTGCTGAATCAGGTTGTATTCCATGAACACGTCCACGATCTGAAAGAGAGGAATGTGGGTACCTTGCATGCCTTCCTAGCATGTAACCAGTCCTGAAGCAGGAGAAGAAAGCGTGTTGAACAGAAACAGGCAAAACACATCTTTCTAGAGTTCTCAAAAATGGAAGTCCTAGCTCATCACCAGATTAATAGAAAATTTCGCCACCAAGCCAACTGCACAGAACCAAAGCGGGGCCAGCAAGGCTGAGAGGAAAAGATTTCTATACATTGCAAAACCATGAGAAGAAGTCTGTGCTAATTTTTTCCTCCCTCACATGGAACGACCCCCTTTTCCTAAGCAGTCAATATGCACTACAGTTGCAGAGGGCTGTGGAGAAATATGCTCCCTTCGCATCTTACAAACGGGGCTGTTGGGGACCAGGAAATGGGATGCGTCTTTCGATGCCGAAACGCCTCCAGGATTCAAGAAGAACCAACCATCTGCCAGGAGATACTCTTCTGGGCACAGTCAGTCTTTCAGAAGAGTTGACTTATCTCCGTTCGGACTTTACTTACCTGAGTGATGTCTGCAAGCGGCTCCTCGTCTTGTACTAGCATCTGGGCAAACTGCTGCCCTTGGTCTGGACTGATTCGCATTACATTCCTCAGGAGAAAGATCCAGTCTGGAGTGTAGCCGACCTAGGAGTGTGCGCACACAAACACACACACACACTTAAAATAATGTGATCCACTTTGTGAATGGCCCTCACAAGGGGATTTACAAAATTACAAAAACATGAACGTGCAAATTACTACGCACCCACACAGCAAGAACAGTGGATGATTTCAAAGTATGGGAATAAATGTGTCTTCAGGTCACTTTGATTTTTAAACCAAGCAACAGCTGCTCCCACTCTAAATTACTCTTACTGGAATTGCGTCGCACTGCATTGTTCTTAAATTCACATTTTAACGCCATGTTAACTATCATAAGGATTTTTAAACATCTTACAGGATATAAATGGCATAAATGAATAAATAATAAAATGAATTAAGCCCCAGGGAAAACATGGCAAAGGTGCGGGGCCTTGTTTCATGAGCTTTGCAGAAGGCCTGGGTGCCCCAGCGAAACACAGCCCTGACATTTTCCAGCCAGAACTTAGGGGCTCTCACAGAGAAGATACCTTCAGAGAGCTACGCAAAATTAATTGTTTGCGGGGCATCGGCTCCAAAGCAGCCCTTTCGCAGGCGAGGATTCAGAGGAGGCGGGCACGGGAGAAAGGCTTCTCAGGGCCAACGGACTAGGGCCACTTCTGCAGATTTCTCTCCCTGGACCAGCACCAGCGACTCTGAAGCACCCGGCAACCCCTCTCCTCCACAGGCAAGAGGCAATGAAAGGGCTGTGAAACCGCGACTCCCGCAACACGCCTGCTCTCCTGGGCCTTCGGCAGCGGGGCCGCAGGACACGAAGCTAGCCGTGGACGGGGCAAAGCGCTCTGCGTGCTGGGAAGGGGTGTGGCGGATCGGCGGGGCCCCGCTTCACATGCAGGGGGCCTCGGGCTCAACCCCTGCTGGGCCGGAAAAAGAATCCAAGGCGAGCCCCCTGGTGCTCCTGTGACTTTTGCACTGGACGTGCATCCCACTCCGTCACGTACGCGGCCGTTCAGGGGAGGGGCTGTGTCCACTGAGCAAACAGACGGGCTATTTGCCTCCAGCAGAGCTCCCGATAAGCAAGGCCAGCCTCGACCGCCCCGGGTTCGGATAGGGCAGGCACCTTTTTCGCGTAGAGCACAATCTTCTGAACTTGTCCGGTCTCGGCGAAGCACTGGATGACTTTGTTGGGAACGTTCGCCCGAAGGTAGACACTCAGAGCCAGCGTGGGGTCCACGGATTTCACGAGGTCTCCCAATTCTTCAGAGCATTCCAACTGTTTTGAGAGATTTAAGAGGCTATTAGAAACCCGTGCATGCGTACCACCACCTAAATCAAAAATTACATTCACCACAGAACCCAGCTTCCAAAGCAGCTCAGTGCTTTCTCTCCATCTCTTTTCTAAAAGCTTTACAAAGTTTCTAGCTCTCATGGAAACAAAGATGCTCAGAAATGTGTGTGCAATGCCTGAAGGTATTTCAGCAGCGAAGAGTCAAGTAATGAGTGACTAAGGCAAGAGGGTTTCCCGGACACACCCAGCCGCTTGCCCTTTCCTCGGACCAAGGTAGAGAGAAGCAGTCGGCGTGCAGAGCACCCTTTCTGCACAGAACCGCAGTTCATGCGAAGGTGCAGAATTCTTCGTGGTTCTTATTTTGGGAGCATGATGCATATTCCAGCCCCGGAAACGGAAACACCAACAGCTAAGCAGGCAGGGGGCAGGGAGAAAGAGGTGGCAGCAATTCCCACACGCTGCGCTGACCCACACAGGGCTCAAACAAACTGTGCGTCAAGAGCAGACTGAACTGCATGGCGGGGACGCCATTTGAGTCTCGCTCGCAGAAGCCCTTCTGGATCAGAGCCAGGTCCACCCAGTCCAGCCCTCCACGCGCACGGCGGCAAACCAGCTGCGTGCAGGATCCCTCAGGCAGGATGGGTGCAAGACCTCCACCTGCCACGGCACGCTCCTCGGCACTTCGGTCCAGCGGAAGACATCCACGTTTGCCAAGGTGCTGGCCGGGTGTCTCTGGCCACCTCTGCCGGGCAACCGGAGAAGCCGGCCAAGCAGACGCACCTGGAGGAGATGCCTCACCTTGTCTTCTTTGAGCCACTTCTCCAGCAGCTGCTTGCGTCCCTGTTGCAGCACCGGGCGGCAGAGTTCTAAGGACTCGTACTTGTTCAGCTGACCTTGGTCTAGCAGGATGCCAAAATACTGGAGCAACGGGGAGGTCTGGCCCGGCTGGGCTGGGACGCTCTGGAACCGCCGGATCGTGTCCGGGGTACGCAGTATTCCCTGTGAGGAGGAGAGGGGAACGAAATGCACCACCGGTCCTTCGCAGCTCGGGCAGAGGAGTCCGTCCGTTAACCAGCCAGAGACTTGGCAGCTGCGAACCCGTCAGGGCAGGGCAGGGACCCTTTTCCGCGCCCTCAGGCACATACGGCCAGTCGAAAGACCCCCCTGGGCAACGCCCCAAGAGGTCATTCCAAGCACCGAGCGTTTTCGACCGACAGCCCAGGACACCCTTGCGTCGCTCTCCCCGAGGCATCGGTGCCAGGCAGATCCACCAGGTGGACACAAGCACCCTGCCAGCGGCAACGACAACGTCGCACACCCAGCGATGCACCTGCGCCCGTGCCGCCGTTCCCCGTACCTTTGGGGCGTTTGCTGCCACTTTGGCTGCTTCCGAGTAGCTGCCCTGCGCGAAGAGCGCGTTGAATTTCCGGGCGAAGAGCTCTTCGGCCCCGGCGAGGTTGTTGCGGACGGCCATGCGCAGCGCCAGGTCGGGGTTTTGCAGCACATTCGTGATGTAAGGAATGATGTTCTCTTCCTCGACACACACCGACAGCACCTGAGTCGGGAGAGGAGGCAAGATGCGGGGGGGGAGGGGGGCACAACCGTGAGAGGGGGCCTCTGAAAGCAGAAAACTGTCCGCAAAGAGCGGAAGAGCAAGAATTCCCCAAAGAGGTTCGCCTGGCGCCGACACTCTATTCTTTTCGGCGCCAGGTAAAAACCTTTTTATTCGCCCAACATTTTAAGGCCTAAATAATCCTAATCTGGTTTTATTATATTCTCAACTGCATTTTGTCCTTTTGCAATTGTATTTTCTGACTGTTGTGTATTTATTGCTATTTATAGTGTAAGCTATCCTGGGGCAATTGGATTGTGTCGGACGGGATAAAAACATTCCAAATAAATTAATTCAGAGCTATTCTCAAAGACACCCAGAGTGAGGTTCAGGAAGAGAGACAAGGGACTCCTCCAGCCACAGCTCAGGGGGGCAGCACTTGGTTGGCTCGCAGGCAGACGGTCCGAGGTTTGATGCCCGGCTGCCCCAGACGGAGCCGGAAAAAGCCCTGCAGAGCCTTGGCTGCCGGCCTGTGCCGACGACACAGCACTAAATGGGCCCGGGGCCTGCCTTGCTCCACGCAGCGTCCCGTGTGCCTCCGGCTGCAGCGGTTTGGAGTCGCGTCAAGGGCTGCTTTCCCACATGAAAGGCACTGCAGCCCTGGCCTTTAGACTGGAGGCCAAGGGCAGAGCAGGCTCCGTCGTGCCAGGAGTGATGAATCACCCCCACCCTCTAAAGGACAGAGTGTCCTGGGCGTGCACATGGCTTGCTCTGCTCTGCTCTCCTCTCCCAGATGGATGCTCTACACATCCAAGTCAGATTTGGAAATTGCTCCCTCCCCCCCCCCCTCCAGCGTGTCTGCTACACACAGCACGGGGGGGGAGGTGTCACGGGACTGCCCTGAGAAATGGATGACAGCCAACCACTGAGCATTTGCACAATGAGCTGCACATGCTGAGATGCCGCAGCTCATTCTGCAAAAGTTCTGCTCTCTGGCCAGGGAAATGCCGTGCCTTTAAGTGTCGCACGGCTTCCGCCTGGCCAGTCAGCGGCCACTAGTCATGAGGGCCAAACAGGATGGGGACGGCCTGTGGCCACCTCAGCAAGCGCCACATGCCGAAAAGAGACGAAGGCGGGCCCCGCAAAGGACATTCCGGCCACAGAATTGTGTTCATCCCCAAGCAAGTGCCCTCCAGGTGTTTTGGGCAGCTCACAGCAAGCCCCTCCAGCCCGGTCAAGGACCAGGGGTGAAGAGCGTCGGCCTCCAGAGGAGCCGCACTGAGAAAGGCAGGCTGGTGGAGCTCCACCGGCCGGTCCTCCCGCTTGCTCCGAGATCTGGAGCAGCCGTCCCCAGCTGATGCCTGCAGAGGTGCTGGGCGGCCGCTGCTGGCACGCCTGCCCCGTGAGCTGGGGAGGGCTGATCCTGGCCCTGGCTCCGCGTCCACCTCGAAGGCAGAGCACCACGAGGCAGCAGAGGGCCTCTTCAGCAGCGGCAGTTCCCCTGTGCCACACGCTCAAGTGGAGCTTGGGACTGGCTGGTTTTTCGATGGCCGAGGGATGGGCCCCAAACAGAAAGGCTCAAACGCACTTACGGGGGAAGACCAAAAAGCAGAACCCCATCCGGCTGCTTTGGAAGAGTCTCCTCTGCCTGCAACCCAAACGCTCAGGCAGCGCAAAGCACAGGAAGGGAAACCAATGATCTATGTTCTGAGCCAGCCGTGTGGTCCTTCAGATCCGGACGTGGCCAGGGCATGCTGGGAGCTGTAGGCTTCTCTTTGGCTGAAATGCTTGGATTGCACCTTGATCTCTAAAAACCATCTCGGCATGGGCCGCAGCTTAGCAGTTCAGGCCCCAGCTTCTCTGGTCAAAGAGCATCAGGTAGCTGGTGATGGAAAAGCTTCTCTCTCTCTCTCTCCCCCCCCCCCAGGGGGCCCCTGCCAGTCAGAGCAGACAATGGCCTGACCTGGTCTATGGCAGCTTTCCGTGTAGCTCCAACCTCCCACCCAGACAATGTCACGAAGCTGCTGCTTCCTGGACGGTGCAAACAGCTGCCAGCAGAGGCTCTTTCGTGGCCCTGGCAGCTTAGCGGTAGATTAACGCAATCCGACGAGGGGGATGCCAGTCCTTTCGGAGCGCGCGCTTCATTTTAATCTGAGAGGCGGTGCGGCAGTAGCGGCAACCCAGGCCAGGCAACCTCGCTCTTAGATCTGCATCCAGGAGGACTGAAGCGGCGGCCTCTGTACTCACTTGGGGTCAGTTACGTGTCAGCCCCATGCTCAGTCCTGAGTTCTGAATTCAGAATCTCTCTCACACACACACCCACTGTGCAGAGAGCCTCAATTTGCAGAGCGGAGCTGCCTTAAGTCTGCTGCAGAATAAAATAACACATTGCAAAGCTTACAGGCAGCTGAAGCACTAGCACTTTTATCCTGAGCTAACAAATGCCAGAATATGTTGGTCTTTAAGATGCCAGAGGAATGCTGTTTAAGAGCATTCAAGAATATGACCTTGTTTACGCAAACTAACCACGTTTGGACTGGTTCAATCCTGGGTTGTTGAGATGGTAACAGAGGAAAGCCAGTGGGTTTCCACTGCTGAACAGACCTGTGGCTTGTTCTTGTGTTCTGGGTTGTTTTGCCCCCAGTCTTGAATCTGGACATCATGCAAAACAACCCCAGGGCAGAGCATTTCTGGCTTGTTCAACTCACTCACAGCAACCCAGAGTTTAAAAGGAATCTGGGCAGTTGCGACGTGTGTACCTGGCATCACCCCGATAGCGATCCCAGCGTTAAGGCCTGTATGACCATTTAAGCACTGGCTTAAACGGGATAAGAATCTCATTACTTGTCCTTTTCTGTTGACGCCGATGATTCCCGACGTGGCTTCATGCGGAGCAGTGACGAAGATGGTCTCCCCACTGATTCTGTTCATGTAGATACAAGTCCCAGTTTCGAGGTCATAGAGGTGGATGTAACCGTATTTTGTGATCAAGAAAACTACATCGTGCTTTTCGCTGATCTGAAGGAAGAAGAACAGAGAGAGGACTGAGGTTATCCTGTAGCTCCCCACGGGCATGATGTGGGCAGCTGTCTACGCCATGCTCATTCAACACACTGTATTGCAATTTAAAAGCTGCACTGCCACTTAAAAGCTGCACAGGAAGAAAATCCGCCTGTATAGTGTAAAACTGTGGCATCCTACTCGGCATAAAACTAGTCGGGTGGCCAAGGAGCTAGAAAAGCGCAGGGCAAGCTTCCCTCAACAACTGGCTGTCTTCCATGCACTTTTCAAAGCCAAAAATACCTGAACTTTTGTTCTATAAAAGGGAAGGCTAAGCAGCTATTAAAGGCAGCTTACAATGTTAAACCCAAGGCTTGAAAGTGGGTGCTGTCAAGCTCGGCCATTCTCTGGCATGTTGAAATGACGGCGTTCAAACTTCCTGACTCCGACGTGCGACCACGACCACCCTGGTGCCGAGAGGCCGAGAGTAAGACAGGGTACCTGCATCGCTACTGGGAAATCATTCTGTGCTTCCGGTGGGAAGAAGACATCCACGGCTTTCTTCGGAAAGGGCTGGTTCCCGGTGGGAGGGGTGCCAACCTCAATGATATGCAACTGTACGGGAAGGAAGGGAGAGGATTGGATTAAAGCGTTGGTGTCCTCGGAGAGGAACGCCTGCACCTCTGTTCAGGCGCACGCAAGGAAACAGGTGGGCACAAGCAATTGGTATCACTAGCGGCTCTTCCGCTTTATGAATTAAGAGACTACGTCGCCGCTGGAGAAGGACTAGGCGATCATCCACCTGGACTGGCTAATGCCTTGTGCAAAACCAGCCCGGAAAAGGCAGGGTCACGGTGAGGCCACCAAAAGTCTGCCTGTCACTGCAGCCTCCATTTCTCCTGATCTGGCAAGGCGGCTTCCTTCTTCTGTACACGTCTCATTGATTCCAAAAATTCCTTTTTCCATCGGGAAAAAAGGTCCGCAGCCAACATATGAAATGGGCAAGGTACACCAGCACCTCCCCTCTTCGGCAAAAATAGGCTGTTCTAGAGCTGAAACCAACTTTCATTTCCCTATTATGTCTCGGCAAGACCTCCCCCTCCCGACGAACCCTAATTATCCAAGTTGATTTAGGACTAAAAAAGATCCCACCTGCTGACTGAATTTGCACCCTCATCCAGGAGTGGGCAATGCTGGCAAGTCCGGAGGGCATCCCCCCCCCCCCGCCCCAAATCAGGCCAACTCCTTGAAAAGAGGAGAAGCTTGGAAAGGACCAATGCGGCTTAAAAAACAGCTCAGTTCCTCCTCGAGCTTCTGCAGCCCTCCGCCCCCAAACCGCGGTGGCCACACGAGAGGCTGACCCTGTGGGATGCATGTGTGGCCAACACCTGCTCTCGCCCCGCCCCCTCGCATCACCTGCGGGCTGTGTGGATGCCCCGTCCCCACACTCCCGCACGGCACCTTTGGGGTCCGATGAATCCAAACTGGTTTGTGGTGCTTGCGGCAGTGCCAACACAAGTGAATTAGGATGCCGGTCTTTCCCCACAAAGCTTCCCGCGGCCACAGCAAAATCTATACTGGAGAAAGGCGTTCCCGCCTCCCAGGCAAGGAGGGATGGGGACTGACCTTGCCTCCCGCTTGCCCTCTCACTGCGAAACAGAAGAGGGTGGATTCCTCTGCGTTGCCTTCCATCTTGAACTGCGCAAAGCTAGCGGCGTGGCCTTCGATGGGCTGGGACACCTTCCGATCCACCGAATAAAGCTGCATGGCTCCGACGACACGGTTTTGCTTTGGAAAGAAGAGGGGGGGGAACAAGCACGCAGGTGAAGGGTTGCACTTGGCGAGTGGTTCACGAGAACCACAGATTTCATGAACCGGCTTCGACGTGGAAACAGAGAATTTGGGAAAGCTCAGGCAAAGTCTCTGGACGGTAGTCAAAGTTGTTCATTTGCAAAGGACTAGCCCCACCTTCCCCAGTCCGGGGCTACTCAGACAAGCTGGACCAACTTCCAGCACTGCTGGTCAGAGGATGCTGGCAGCTGAGAGGATGCTGAGTAGCCTAACATGTATTACTAATTGAAGTATTTCAGGGCTGCTCCTCGGCCCCCGCCCCCATCGCCGCCAAAGACTCACAGAGCTGCTCCCAGTCAATCGGTAAAATGAGACAGCCCCACACCTCGCCATCTAAGCGGGCATGACACCCAAGGAAAAAGATGGGGAGAGGAAAGCTCGGTGCAGCTTTATTCACAAGAGTGCCCGATCTCAGCAGAGCTGTAGTAAAACGCATCGCAATATAACTGGCTGCCCAGCGACAACTTTTAAGGAATGCTGGGGGTGGAATGCGCCAGTCAAGTTCTGCTTGCGGCCTGGATTTTGACATTTGGCTGATAAGTCTCTGAAGTTTAGCAGTGTCCGTCCTGCAGCGAGAGATTAAATTCAAAGACTTTGCTAGCACGGTGCCAAGAGGAGGAGGTTATGCATGCCGCAGCTGGAACATGCCCGTGCTTCACAGAACACACCGGCCTCAAACTCGCCGTTTTGCCACAATACCCAGCAGGCCCTTTTACCGTAACAAAACGGCAACGGAGACCAGAAGCCTGCTTCTTCCTACCCGGGGGCATACACAGGGGAAACTACCAGCTTTGCCGCTGCATTAAAGCTCATTAAGTTCCGACGTTTGGACTTCTTCGGAGGCACCGACTTAGACCAAAGCATTACCTGTGCGGATATTCCGGTCAAAAGCAGCCATTTCTGCTTGGCATCTGTGCGGTAGTTGATGATCTGGCAGCCTGCCAGACTAGAATGGCGATCGAACATCTTGACGGGCTGGGACTCGCCTTCCATGCTCCAGTGGTACACAGCGTTGTCTGTGACGAGCGCGACGGTGTTCAGAGAGATCCACTTCCAGAAGGTGACATCGTCCGTCATGGTGTGGGCCTTCATTTTGCTCTTCATTTCAATATTAAAGATCTGAAGGGTCTTCCCAGCTGGAGGTAAGATGACAGATCAAGTCAGCCACACGTATGAATCTGGCGTATTCAAATGAAAGGTCAGGATGTCCACACACACCACCCGATCCCATGGGAAGCCATCATGCATTCAGACTCGGTAGTAAGAATTTCCAGTGGCCAGCCGGCTTTCTAAACCAGATACCTTTCTAAAAACCGCATCTACTTCTCATTTTAAGTTCTGCCAGTAGCCAAGTTGGTTAGGGCTTGACAGCCATGTACTGCAAACAGTTTCTGTTGGTGACAAAGTCGACTCTCATGCTGGGTTATTCATCCTGAACCCACGCGATTTTACTCTCTCAAGATAAATACACCAAGGCACACAACGGCGGCGCTACACACAAACCACGCACGGGATGTCCACGTCTAGTGCTAGTACGGGAGGGACACAGGACAGTTTCCACGCAAGAAAGGAAAACGGGAAGTCACGGAGTGGGCACTTTGTTAGGTCGGTGAGTCGCTTGGTTTCGAGCGAACCAGAACTCTTAACAAAGGTTTTGCTGTTGCCGATGGCAGGCTCAGCGTGCACCAGCCACAGTGGGCGAGGGCGGGAAAGGCGACGACGACAAGCAGGCAGGCTTGGGGTTGGGTGGAGAGCAGAGGAGGAGGAAGGGAATATCCAGACACCAAAGAGAGGCGTGTGTTGCCTCCGGCATCCTTACCATGAGGAAATCGGCATGTGTCACTGATGAATGCGGGGCCCGGACCGGGGAGATCACGGTTTGGACCCCTGCTAGGCCCCTATGCCCACAGATGGGCCTGCTCACCACACCTCTTCTCTACCTAAGAGGGATGCCGCAAGGATGGGATGGGAATAACCCCGTGTGCACTGCCCTGAGCTCCTTGGAGGAAACCTCGGATACGACGAGATCCAGCGGCAGTAAGCGGCACGCTGTGGGATTGCTCCTGCTTGGTCCTCAAGCTGGCGCTGGAAAACGTTTCGATGCCCAGATGTTTCGACATCTCCAGATGTCCAGAACTGCTTTACTGTCCAAGGTTTAAGATGAGAATCACGGGAGGCAGGTGGTTTGCTTCCAGTAGCCCCAAGTAAGGCACAGGCAGCAACGGGAGAGTAGGAACGAGGCCTCACGATGAGCCAAAAAAACCTCTGATCCATTTCTGTATAGCACTAACCACCAGAAGCAGCCCATCACTGGACTACAGTGCTCATAATCCCCCACAGCTGGACGGGAACTGTAGGAACTGCAGGCCAACAAATCTAAAAGGCACCAGGCCGGGGAAGGCTGTGGGGTGGCCTGCTACCCACGTATGACCAGAAAAAGGATTCTGACTTCGCATTTTTGCTTCTGGGGTAGTTCAGGCAAATGCTAGGAGAAAGAGCCCAGCAACCACGCCGCTCTTCCTCCACGCAGCCTCCCTTCCACTGTCTGTGCACAATCAGTGGCAGAGAGATGAAGGCATAGGGGCGAGAAGCAAACACGTCAGAATAAAAACAGTTCGCAGCTAGGGAGAGAAAAGCCACTAGTCCTTCCACAGAGGTCACTAGCCTACACGTCTGGGCAACCTTTACTTCAAAGGGAACTCAAAGCAGGCCGAGCTTCCAAAGCTATTATGAACTGGGTTTCGGGGTTAAAGACTAAGCTATCACCAAACCCTTCAAGGGTCAGAGGTCAGCCTCCCAGGAACAGGTTTGACCCTGCTCTCAAAAGTTGCAGTGGGGCAGGCTGCGGGGGAGGGAAGAGAGCTCCTTCGGTGTCTATTCCTTTCATTATGTACTCTTGGATTTTGGGGTGGTTGCAATCCAAGACATTCTCCAGTTGAAAGCCAGACTCCGGCTTCATTTCTTTCTCACACTATTTGCAGAGTACACAAAAAGCAAAAAATATACAGCCAGATATGAAATTGTAAGAGTCTCAGTCCTGTTTATAAAAAGGTCGATGCATATCCAAGCAAATCCTATCAATCAAGACCACTCTTTTCCCTTTCCTCTTTTTAAGAGAAGGCCCTGAGAACAAGGCCCCCGACTCGCAAGAATATTGGTTCTTGCCTACGCCTCCACCGTAATTATTCAGCATGTGCCCCACTAAGCCTTTAAGCTCGTAAGCCTTTCGCATTCTCTTTTCATAAAACAGGACAAACACAAATACAATCTGAAACGGAAGTAACTCACCATCTGCATACACAAGAAAGCGTTAGAAAGTGTGACAAAAATAGTGATACAACATTAAAGCCGTCAAAAAACAAAAGAGGAAGGTATTACAAGGAGACAGTTGAAAATTTAAGTTTCTCCACCAAAGGAGGGAACATAGCAATATCTTGGCTTTAGTGGACGCAGAGGCGGCGCAATTTGGAGAAGAAAATCAGTTGGAATGCTTGAGCGATGGCGACTGGACAGTTTGCATCTGTTAAGCGGTGACTTACAGGCCCGTGTACACTAAAGTTACCAGATCTATTGCATAACACTCAAGAGTTTATAGTATTATAGTACACTTTTGCCATATCAAAGTCACACGGCAGGTGGGATTCAACAAAGAACAAGGCTGGAAACTTTTTGTACTGCACAGGAGGCTAAAAGTTCAACAGCCTTAAGTAATTTGCACGGGGGAGATAAATGAAGTCGGTATGATATTATTTCGGGAAATGTCACTGTTCTTTGTCCCAAATATTTAAAAGAAGATAGTATAGTTGTTTTGTCTTTTTAAAGAATAGCATATTGGGCACACATTTAAGGCTATTCCAATTATTATTTTTTAATTTTTAAGAGTACATTTAAGAGAAAGCTAAAATGTAGAGGTGGAACACAAGTGCATATGGACTTCAGGGTATTTGGTTGAGCTAAGTCATGCTTGCACAAAACGCTGGGACTCCTATTCACACATCCCAAATGCACTCTTGCAGAGTTTTCACAAGTTCATATTTAAGCATCTCTGGCAGTCAACTGTGGGCCTGAGAACAGATGTCGCCTTTCACAGTGTAAGCCGGGACATTCAGAATTTTAATATCCCATGGGCTGTGAGTTGACCATTTCAGAAAAATGCCTTATTGCAGGAGGGCAAAGAGAGCAGAACTGGCATGATTACACTCTACAGAACCATCCGAGGCATTAATGAATGGAAGCAATGCGCATTCGCAGGGCTAATTTGGTGTATTCCTGGGCCAGTATTTTGTGTCTGCTCTACAAAACTGGTCCACAAAGTTACTAGTCCACACAGAAGAATATGTAGCCGAGTTCAGTGAATGAGGACCTTGGATCTGGACCATTTGTGGTGTATCAGCAAGGGCTCCTGACTCCTGGTTGTGAAAGAAAACAGCTCTCCTGCTCCAAATTAGGATGCAAAAATGAAAACACATGGGCAAGGGAAAACCCAGCTTGGATTTATGGGTGAAGAACTGGGGGTTCACTTCTGGAACTGGAAAAACATCTGAAGGATCGGCTCAGAGGTGTCCTGTTCCTTGGCCCCTAACTCACTGGATTCCAGCAAAAAATCAGAAGTAGGTCCTCTAAGTCTGATGCCAGCCCATCCCTGTGCTACATTAAGTAATCTGTTGTTTAGATGATGATTATTATTATTATTACATTTTTATACTGCCAATAGCCAAAGCTCTCTAGGCAGTTGACAGCAATAGACTCATACCCTCAAGTCACCCATCCCACTTCTGCCCAGGCCTGACCCTGCTTAGCTTCCAAAATTAGGCAGGAACAGACACTTCAGGCTACTGCCTGGTCTCCATGAGACAATTCATACTTGCCCCTGGATGCCAGACAACTGGACTTAAATCTCAAAAAACCCAAAAGCAAACCAAGCCTATTTGCTGTTGGAAAGACCGTGCGTTTGAGTCAGCAGCGGGAAGAAAAGGCCCAACTGCATAACATGTATGCCAAGAACTGAAACAGTTGCTTGGGGCGGGTGGCATCTCAAAGTACGTTCGGCCTTTTCTCCTGCTGTCCACTCGCTTGCTGCTTCTAGCGCTTCCAAAAACTCATTTTTAACTGCCTGAAACACAAAAAACTCCATTCACGTTAAAACAGCTTTTGCTGCTGTCCTGGAAGCCAAACTACCAGGCGGGGGGGCATCTCTGGGCAATACAGGGGGATAGTTTTCCAGGCCCGATGCACCCCATGGGCCATGTTTCCTGCTGCCACACCAGTAAAACCGCTGGCAGCAGCCAAGTTTGGCAGTGGCAAAGTTTTTGAAAGGTCAACCGTTTGCCACCAGAATTCAGCAGCAAGCTGCTACAGAGACTTCCAAAGGACATACTATCCATCGGAAGCCTTGTGCAGCAATCCTTTCCAAGGCAAACTTGCTGTTTATTTGCTTTTTCTGCTGATAGTGGGGTGCGGGGGACAAAATCAGGCAGCAAGGGCAGCCCGTCTCACTCTTACCACAAGGCAACCTTGTTTCAAGCTAAGTCATCAAGCATGTTACTAATGAACGAACCCTAGTAATTTTCAAGCAATTACAAAGGAACGTGCTGCACAAGTCATCGCGGGTGGGAAGGATGAGTAATGGTGTTTACTGCAGCAGCGGCTGTAGTTTATTTTGGAGAAAATGCGGAGGGTAACATCAGCACACTTTTAAAGAACCTCAGAGGCACCCAAAAATCCAGGCCTTGGTTCAGAAACGGAAGGCACGTTGAGAGAGGTGTTTACATACCTTTCAGGGCAATGACCTTGCTGGCAGGGTTCATGATGGCGCTGTCAGCTGAAATCGGCCTGCGGATGGGGTTGCTGGGGTCGTTCATGTCGATAATGACCACCTGGGCCTGCTCCCCCACTTTCTCACGTATGCAGATGAATTTGTCAGACTCCATGGTCAGAGTGCTGAAGCCAATGTTGGCCGGGTTGATGCCCAGGTTCTGGAGCTGCAAGACAGAGGGGAGAATTCAAAGCCGCTCAGTGGTTCGCATCCCTCTTATTTATTTATTAATTAAAACATTTTTATGCCGCCCCATTCGCAGAAGCCTCGGGGAGGCTTACAACAATAAAAGTAATTATAATATAAATTACAATAAATATAAACATATATATGGCTAGTCTCAGTATCAGCTGCGATCAATACAGCGTCTAAGGCCTGGGAGTGTGAGAAATTCGTGAGGAAAACCAGCTTGTGTTCCCTTGCTCTTTCCAGCACGTCCGCATGCAACCACAGGCAAATTTGCCAGAAAAAAGTACTAAAAGGTGCCATGTTCCCAAGCCAGAATTCTTTCACCAACTTGCAAAATCTCTCACACCCTTCCCTGACATGACACCTATGGCAACCAATTGCCCATATCATTATGCGAGTCTGTCTTTGGTCCTTTCCGAGTGTCTTCCGTCATTAACTTTGGCCACCCTTTTTCCAATACATCGTCCATCATTAACCAAGCCGACGAGCCAGCAATACAGTTTCTTCAAAACCAAGCTGGTCCTCCCCAGCAGGGCGCTCTCCAATTGTTAAAACACAACTGCCCACTGGGCCTAAGCAATCAAGGGAGCACAGGTTGCGCTGCTAGGGCTTGTCGGTATCATTTGGACGCTAAACACAACAAACACCGAAACAAGGTACCCTGGTGGCAGAATTTCCAGACAGACAAGTCACCAGAGAAGTCGAGAACCACGAGGGCTTGCCCGATACCTCGGGAGCAAGAACAATGATAGTTTCACGGCAAATGGACCTGATGAGGCTAGAAGTGCTGAACAGCTTTCAAGTCAAAGGCTGGCTTCTGCTTCAGAGAAGCTTCGGAGGGTCACATTCCAAAAGGCAAAAGAGGACCAGAACTACACCAGCTTGTTTTAGGTGCAAGCTCTTAGTAACAGGGATTAAACCCAAGGCATTTCAACTTTCCGAATTGGGGGGGGGGGGGGGGGGGAGATGCACCTGTAAAAAAGCCAGGAAGCCACCCAACAGTTGGTGGCTAGGTGAGAGAGGATGGAGTCTTCTGCCCTGACCTGACCCCCATTCTGGAGATTCTACAGATCTGGACTAAGTGAAAAGAAACGGGACTTCGAGTGAGTCACCATTTCGCCACAAGGCGAACTGGGTATCTTTGGACCAGTCGTGCTCTCAACCAGTCACACTCTCAGGGGGTTGTGCGGTAACAACACTGAAGTTGTGAGACCAAGGACAGGAGGGTAGACCTTGTGTGCCAGCTCATGTTTCCTGGAGGATCAGTGGGGCTGATAATGTAGGATACACAATGTTCCATTTTGAAACACCCTGTTTCAGAAAACTTACGTAGTAACTTTGTGAGAAATACAAAGGAAGCCAAACTGGGCAGCTTGGATGGGTATAATTCTGTCAAAAACTTTAAATTTCTTTAGCCAACTCTCCCCAAGGAGTAGATTTATGTATTTGTTTATGCATGCTACCATTAGAGTATAATCTTAGTTATGTTTGGACAGAAAAAGAGCTTACAACTCCCATGTCCTAGCCAGAATAGCTGTCTGGGATAGGCTGGGAGCTGTGGGTCTTTCTTCTGTCTAAACATGAATACAATTTATGCCTTTATTATGTTAAGGTTTCAGCGCCCTGATTTCTTTAAGACCTAAAATAATGAAAAAGATGTATGTGCTATTGTGATCGTTTAATTATTCATAAACAAATAATTTCCACATAATCTTTTGGCTCTGGCCAAGCGTAACATTTCAACTGCACTTCGTTGATTTTATTGGTTGGTTTCATTGCCATTTTATTGTCTTCTGTTTATTAGCACTTACAAAATGCATAAAATTTAAATACTGAAAGATCTGAAAGTGGGTTGGGCTGCCATCCTGGAATCAAACAGTTTATTGCCTTTAATTTCCATACCACAGGATACCCAAGCAGAACAACACGAATCTAGACGGAATGAAGAATCTTTGGCTAGGAAAAGAGAACAAAATAATACGCACACATGCAGCTGAATGAGATTCGGGCCAACATGTAAAAAAACAAGCAAGCAAAGAAAACCCCAAGCACAGGAAATGTAACGTCATTCAAGGCCAGCAAAGCGTCCAGCAGCGAATGGCAGGAATTCCCTCGATACCATTTGATGCCGGCGGATGATTCGGTTCCACTGTTTGGAAACCTGGAGGCTGTTGCAAAGCCTGAAGCAGAGCGGCCCTGTAACAAGCCACAATTATGACGCTGGGCCTTGTTCGTGCGGAAGCTGGGAATGTAAAAGATACGGCCCAAGAGAGGAGCTGGCTCAGGCAGACTTGGCACGGGCTGAACCTGTTATTTCAAAGACAGAATCACATCTCTTCTGGAACTGCGGGGACTCAGGTTTAAAGGCAGGAATCGAGCAACTGGGGGAACTGCTTGGCTGTGTGAGCCAAAGGTGCAGCAGAAGCCAAGGGGGAGAGCCTCAGGCCCTCTTGGCACCCCAGTCCGGCCATCCTGATGGCTGCGCTGCGCCCTCTCCTTTCCCCACTTGCAAAATGTTGAAACGCCTCTCCTTAGGTTGAGTGATTGGTAGTAAGAGCTTTCAGCTACAATAAGCTGGGGTGGCGGGAGAGACAATATTATAACCCTACAGGTGGGGACCGATGGAAGGCACACTCCAGCACAGCTGGATGCCCGGGCAGGGCAAGGCTGCCGCAGCGCCTGGCTAGCCCATGAGACTCCAAGCGCAACTCCTTTTCTGCTAGGCCACTCCGGCTGTACTTCCAGTTCCTCTTTTACGTAGCAGCTCAGCTACCGAGGAAGAGTGATTCATTCACAAGGAACAGTTTCGGAGCGCGGACTGGGAGCCGATGTTTCGCAAGAGCCAGCCATTTCTCCTAAGCATTGAGCTGTCTCTCTCCTCCGCGCTGAAGCTTGGGTCTGCAGAAGAAGAACAGAATGCCACGGAACTACTCCTGCGGGAGAGAGCAGGAACACCGGAGGGTGTGATCGCAAGGGAGGGCAAATCCATTGTGTGCCTGCTTATTATCAGGGACATTTCATGTGCCTTGTTAAAGGCTCCACCTTCCCCACTCTGTCCTGGCCTTCCTTGTCTCCACTGATAAAGACAGGGCGTGCCCCACTTAAATGCCGGAGTTTCAGCATTCAGTTATTTTAAAAAAGCACACACGGATATACAGTATGGGAGAACCCTCCACAGGGTATCTGAATCATAAACACTTGCTCAAAAAGTTAGTGTCCTTGGAACACTGTTGTCTTGTGTGATGACACAATCTGTCATTATTATGATGACAGATCAACTGACAGCGGCGGTGCACAATGCGATGCCCTCTTGATGTGCTGGGACCGCACCGCCCAGGATCCTGACCCCAAATACACAGACTATCGCGAGTGCTTCACACCGGAACTTTTTATACTCAAGAGCGGAGAATCATGTCCCTGAAGCAAGCTACTTCCAAAAGGGGCACACTCCAAAAGCCATTGCTCATCTCCAGACAGTGAATACTGATGAAAGCGGCACATTTCCTACGGAGAGCGAGTGTGGTATAGTGGTCAGGAGCACAAGAGTAGAACTCGGGAGATCGGAGTTCTAGCCCCTGCTCGGCCACGATGCTCCTGGTGCGACTTTGGGCCAGCCACAGACTCTCAGTTCAACCTACTTCACAGCGCTGTTGTTGTTGTGGGGGTAAGATGGAGAATTATGCGAGCCACCTCAAGCTCCTTGAAAAGAAAAAGTGGGATATAGATATAATAAATGAATAAATTTTATATCCTGCATTTCCTCCAGGAAACTTAAGGCAGTGAACGAGGTTACCCTCTTGGCGTTTATGCTTACAAGAAACCTGGGAGGCAGGCAAGGTCAGGAGATGTCTATAGCCCAACGAGCTTTGTGGCTGAGTCAGGGTTTGGAGCAGAGCCTTCCTTCTCATGGCGGAGCATTTCACTTGGGAGTGCCTGCTCTACCTCCAACTGTTGCGCAACTCATTCTCAATTTAAATGGTCCACAAATTAGCTCGTCTCGCTCAGGCCACTTGGACGGCTGCGAGGGCTTCAACCGGCATCTTCTATCTCACCCGGAAACACTTCCCACCTAGCTGCTCTGGAGACGGGCAAGAGCCTCTATCCGGTGAGCTTTATCGCCAAGCAGAGCCAAACGTGCATGGCCCACGGAACAACCTGGTGGCCTGTGCTTTCTGGGCGGCTTTCCCCAGCACCCAAGAGCAGCCAGGAGGACACGCAGGCCCATGAGGAATGCCTCAGGAGGCTGCGATGCCCAGGCTGCATGTTTCACGGGGAGAAAATGATAAGCAGCTCCTGTGTTGCAACACCTTGCGCTTCCATTCCGGCTCCCCACAGGAGTCTGTACCTGTGCCATGTTTCATGCCACACCTTTGGAGGGACCATTCACAGGCTATTAGTAATGCACCACTCCCTTACTACAACTCCCGCCAACCCGGCACTGCTATTCAGTCCCAAGTGGTGGAATAAAAAGATCGTCTTTGTCACTCAACTCTCATCGGCTTCCCCATATTCTTGCTGGGTTTGGGGGAGCAGCTAACTGGTGTGAAGGATTCCTAGCGTTTGTGAGGATACCTGCCCCAGATGCTTCCTCCACTATGCGGTGGTGGGGGGAGGACAGGAGAGAGCAAGCCTGTGCACGCACCCCCAAGAACAAGTTCTAAGCTGAGCGAGCCCCAAGACAGACAAAAGGAAAAGGTGTCAATTCTCGGCTGTCGAGTGAGAACGCCATTACATTAATAGCATAAGCTTCTCACAAATCGCTTTATGTGGGGATTGGAGCAACTGTGGACCACCATTCTCCTGACAGGTTCAAGCATTTGCCTGCTGTTTCCCAATTTTGGGGAAATGCACATTTTTAGGTGTTCATGTTGCAGTCTCCTTTCCTCCTGCTTGTTCTTATACTTGACCTGCTCCAACTATACGACGTGATATCATTTTAGGCCTCGGCACTGAGAAGCTGGAAATGTGACGAGAGCT